CTACATGCAAATTGTATATATACAAATTGTATACAATTTACACAATATATACAGTATCTTGGCTTCTGTACTGTAAATACTTACACATACACATCCTATCTGCCATCTATTTGTCCATTTATCTATCTGTTTATTAATTTTCTAGCAGCTTTTCTGAGTCAGAGTTGCTGTGGCAACAGAGTCAGTAGAATATCCCAGGTGACATTTTACCCTGCGAGTTTCTTCCGACACCTCCACCACGTGCTCCCATGCCAGCTGGGAGATGCAGTCCCTGCGGCATGTCCTGGGTATAAGGACTTTGGTTTGTTGCACCCCATCAAGTTTGGATTTTGAGGTTTTCAACTGCTTTTGGTCACTACTGATAGGTGAGAGTCAAATTGAAGATGAGCAGCCAAGAAGCCTACTTTATCGTTCAACTCTGTCTTCAGCACCATGGTCCGGTATGATGTCTGCATTTTATCATCACTCATCTCACAATCCGTTCTACCCACATTCATTAATAATGAGACGCTGAAATATCTGAAGTCCTCGACATATGATCACTGCTTTCCCCTCACCTGGATGGGATAAGACACCATTTTATGGAGAGAATTCTTAGTCTGGTTTTAAGAGATGGTAATGCCTCCTCACACTTACTTTACATCCAGTAGCAGTCACCTCCTGTGCATCAGAAATGGAGCCAGAAACAGAGTCAATAACGAGTTAGGCTGCATCATGATATCCTGCCCAAGATTATCAAAAACAGGGAAGGAGACAGCGCACATGCATGAATAAATCCTATATTGAACTAGGTTGAAATAGTGGCAGACGCTACTTTAAATCCAGAGTGTACAGAGAGCAAAACACTTGCAGTATTGGAAAACACTAGGTCTGGCAATTTCCAAATCCTCACAGCACCTGCAGACTAATCCATGCAACACTGAGAAGACATGTAAACCAAAACAGACCCAACATAATCCAGAGTCGCAGGATTTCAGGATCTCTTGGCACCGAGCCTCTGAGGAACTTTGGTTTACATTATGTGTGTAAACTTAGATATAGTTTTTCATATTACTGTTTGATGCTGCATAAAAATAAATAGATTTTCCATTTATCTACTTGACTTCTGTTTGTACTTTTGCTTTATTTATTTAAATGTACTGCATTGAATGCTCAGTTCACACACATTTGGTGTACTGCTACTGTTTTTATTGCTAACTGTTAAATCATATTATTTGCTGCTGCAGTGACCTAAAATTCAGTAATTTTAGTTATTTACTTAACATTATTGACCCCTGGAATTTGAACTTATTATGTTTAATTATGCCATCCATATATTTATGGACTTATATATTTGTTTTTTTTGGTTATTGTAGTCTTGCTGTTGTTTTATTTTCTTTTATCTATGGTATTTGTATTGTTATTGATTGGTAGGAATGTGCTGTTATTGTTCCTAAAATAATTTGATATGATGTCAAATACAGTTCTTTAAAGAAAAAAGAATGTTTTAGTTTTTGTTCAACCATAAAGACATCTCAAAAATGAATTGTTGTTTCAATTAAAAATAGATCTGCAGCATTATTTTTGCGTGCCAGTTTATATAAAATTTCCTTCTTTAGGAACATCTCAGTTTTTATGTGAAAATTTAGTATGACCCTCTGGAGGTTTTGTGGCAGCACTACTAGTGTTGTGTGTTTTTTATTATCATCACTAATAACTGTACTTAATTGTGTTAATTATACACCAATAATAGACGCGCCCTTTCTCTTTCACTGTGCAGTCGACTGAAGAGTCCCAGTGAGAAGTCAACTTAATGTTGTCCCGGTACTCTGCAGGAAAGCCAGCCAGACCATGCAGGACACCGCTGTTCAAAACAAAGGAGCTCAGTTAGCCCCACCAGTTCCTCCAATTATCGAGACCCTTCCCCCGCCTAATCCTGACCTCTGCTCTTTGATGGGCCCCACTTTGCTCTATCCCCCCAAGCACTGACATTCCTCAGGTCAGGTCAGTCCTTTGTTCTGAAGAAATTAAGGTAAAATTAAGGTGCTGTACTTCCCATCCTATATCCTCTAACCTGTTGGCACAGCAGAGAACACCTTAACATTCAAAGAAATGTTTCCCCAGGCTATGAGAACTGTTGCAAAATGTCATTTACTTTCAAACATGTGTCATTGTGAACACAGAGAGGCTTTTCTTTTATACAGCATTGCATTGAATAGCATAACAAAGTTTTCCAGTGTCTACTTGTGGAAAGTGTGGTAAACACTCTTTTTTCTAAAAACTACTACATAAATGTCATCTCTTTTTCAACTTTTCCTTCACTTGCCCTACTTTCTGCAAGTTTGGTTCACTTCTTTACCTGCAGAATGAACAGGCTGCCCAGAGATTCCATTTTTTTCCTTTGTAACAGATTGATGGCACGTGGATACATGTTGGGGTAGGCAAATAAGGGGGGAAAAAGACAGGAAATGATCTCACAAACACTCCCCCTCTCTCTGATTGCTCCCATTTTCCAGTTATACAAAAAGAGTGAGTTATGCCTGCTGCTGCTTTTTAGCCTGCTCCTCTGTTCCTACCATGGATCTACTTAAGTTTCTGTGCGTGGCCATTAGAGGCCATTACATTGTGGATGTCTGCTTCAATGCACTGCAGTCTCCACATGGTCTTCATTTTCTAAATAAAATGGCAACACTTTATGCAGTGCCAAGATAAGCCCTTGTCTTCAAGTGCAGTGACATGATTAATGTCTTTCATTGCTGCTTTGTGCAACAACCACATGTTGTAAAACTAACGCTGTGTTAATGCGATTATCTTTTGTTCGTTGTTCATAACAATCTGCAACATTTTCATATATTCCTGGTGTAGTTGCCAGGTAAAATGTCATAGTAGAACAACAGACCCAGCTTAAGTAAAACAAAAACATCCTTATATGAGATAGACAATAAATCTCCAAGTAACCAGCTAGAACACTGACACACAACCCTTTGATCTCTGCATGTAATTACAGTCCTCATAATTATATTTCAGCTGAATGTGAGGTGAATGACTAAATCAGGCCTTGAGGCTTCTTCAAAATCAGTGGCTTGAAAACTGGCATGGCATGGAGAAGATAACTGAGGCAGTGTAGGATTAGGTCCTAGGAAGGCCTAAAATTAAGAAATACTTGTGTCAAGATATCCTCATTGAGTGTGTTGGGATACGAAATTCAGAATACATACATGACTGTCAAGAAAAAAATAATATCCAGGTCAAAGTGGTGTCATTTTATGTGGTGCACATGCAATTATGTTTTGTAAACTAGAGGTTGAGCAATTGGAAATTACTCTGTTGCTCTGACAACCATCTGATAACTACAGGTAAATGTTTTATGAAAATGAATGATAGCTGTGTGTGGGCAGAAACAATGATAGGTGTGGCAAAAAAGGTTGTTCAAGGTCAAATGATTTTGTTGAAACTTGAGGACTTCAAGTGTAGGTCAGTGTCATGGCACAAAACGTTTAGATTTCCCCTTTGATGAAACACATTTTGCCTTCGTTTTAACTGACAGTGAGGCACTGACCAGATGCAGGCTTAAACTACAGACTTCAGAGCCCACAAAGCTGTGTGTTGCCACTTCCTTTGGTTTGACAGTTGGATGAGTGAGTACAGAGACGGCAAACAAAGTTCACCGCAAAGAATGTCTGAATGAGAAGGAAAACAGCCAGGTTGGGACATCAGAAAACCCTCAACAAGACCAAAGGTCTCTTAATTAACAGCGAAAAGGAAAAATGTTTGGAGCGATATAACATTCAAATCCTGTTGTTTCAGTTACACCTGAAATACTGAGGTCTGGCATCATACTGTATTCATACAGTGCAAGCTATCATTTCCCATTCTTTGCAAGCATATGTATTAGATCTGTGTGCAATTTTGACTTGACTTCAGATAGATATATTTAACCAGCTTTGGAAAAGTGGACTTTCCCAGGAAATAAAAAATCAGTATCACCTTTAATGTATAATGAAAATACTTGTATTGAATGCATGATCTAAAGGTTTTCACACAGTACTGTAGACACAGAAACACTTACTGTGCCACACACACACCACACCACACCCCATTACTGTCTCTGTTAGACTCACAAATCACAAAGCCACACATTTATTGCTTGGCCTATCCTCAGCCAGTGTGTGGTTTATGATTTTTTTCATTTTCCATTTATCAAATATAGCCTGAAATGGACAACTAGTTTCCCCTACTGACTACTGTCCAATTACTAATACTTCATTAGGAAATATAATAATCTAATGATATGTAGCAATTAATATAATTTGATATGAAACAATTATTCATTGACCAATTTAAACATTTGAAAATATTTTGAATTTGTAAAATGGATGAATAGTTGTCGGCATATGCAGGTATGTTGTGTCTTTAGATGATCTAGTTTTGTAATAGACTAATGAATTGTTTAATTATAATATGTGTGTCCACATTGCACTGTAACTGGTTTGACTCAATCCACCAGGTTTGTATAATAGTGAAAGTGTAAGCACACTTAAGCAGGAACCCAGTAGTGTTAAATTTAGAATGGAGGAGTGGCCGCATGGTTTTCACATCGTCATATTATTCCTTTTTGCATGTAATTTGATACCCTGCGTAAGCAGAGAAAGAGCGCTAAGACAAAAGATGCCGTCCGTGGGCATAAGTTTATAAACTTTTACAATATATCTACTTAAAACAATATTCAGTCTTCAGTTTATGCTTATGGGGTTATTATAACTTTAACAGTTACATCCATTGTTCAAATTTTAGGTTAAAAAATCAAACTGATATGTAGTGGGGAAAAAAGAACTAGTGTCACAGTGCAGCGCTTTAAAACAATTGACCAATCAACGATGAGATATTCAGTAGGCGGGATGTCTTGTCAAGATTGAGAAGATATTCCTCCAATGAAATACTCCGGTGGTCGACATTGTCCAATCGTCTGCGGGATCGACCCGCCGTATCCAACGAGAGTGGATATTCAACGAGCTCGAGAGAAAAGCGGAGACTGGAAGACATCATTTCTCTCTCAGCGTCTTTGGACTAGCAACCGAAGGCAAAGAGCCAAGAAATAAAAAACATTTTTTTCTGAACAGGAGTATTATTTACATTAATTCACCAAATTAACCATGGCCGACACAGCTGTTGACACGACCGCAACTGCAGAGGTTACAGCCAAGGTGCGTTTCATATCGTTTTTTTTTCTTTTTGGTTGAACAGTCGTGTTAAAAGATTTCGGGAGAACTTTTTTTGAAGTTATTCTATTATTTGTGTTAACAATTGGTTTAATTCGCTAGCTCGGGTTAAACGACGGTGGGTTAACGTTATTCGGCGGTAGCAGTAAACGTTAACGGTAACGTTACATCATATAAGTTAAAAACCTTAATTGGGGAAAATGTAAATTAACGTTACAAATGACTGTTACCGTGAAATGTCAGTTGTCGACGACCATACCCCGCAGAGGTGCCTTAGATGTAATTTTCAGCTTCAAGAGCTAAATAATGTGTCTATAAACTCTAACATATGTGATGTGGTTAGCTAAAAATGTCTAGTTGAGAAGACAAAGCGGCAGAAACTGTACAGCTGGTGAAGCGGAGCTGCTGCTGTGGGCGGGAAGCCACAGTAACGTTAACGTTAGTCTACGGTTTGGGATAAAGACGTTCAACATGGGGTCCAATGAATTATCTAGCATATTCTTTCTTGAATTATACTTTATCGCAGATATGTTAAGGATCTTTCTTTCAATTAAACATAGACGTGGTAGGAACGTCTGGCACTTCAGAATAAAGTCGTTGCCGAACATCACATTGATTAAGCTGCATGCTTTTATTTTGTAGGAGCTGAAAGAGAAGAAAGAAGTAGAAGTTGAGAAGAAGAAGGAGGAGGAGGAGAAGACCGACAACGGGGACGCACCTGCCAATGGCACAGTGAGTTGGAGGACTAGCCTCATGGTCTTTTTGTCTTAGCACCCCTCATCATGCAGGTGTCGCTGCACCGCCTCCCCCTCCAGTTCAGCTGCTTTCCACACAGTGCTTTGTTTGGGTTGTGAAATGGCACAGATGTTAGTTAGCAAGTCTGTGGACGTTTCTATTGGTGTCTCAAGTCTAGCGTGGTAGCTAATCCTCTGGGGAGTAATAAGAGCTCCACACACATGCCTGTGTTCACAGAAGAGTCTGTACATGTAAGACTGGGAGGATTATTTCAAATATGCTTGGGATTCAGTGTTTTAAATGTTTCCTCTCTGTTTGCAACATTGTCCATAATCCTTACAATTTTGCTCCATAACAAAAGCCAGATCATGACATAAGTGTTACTTGACAGACATTTCCCTCTTTTCATTCAGAATGGTGCTGATCACAGTGACAAAGTGGAAGAACCCACAGAGGAGAAACACAAGAATGGAGATGGTATGTTCATATAAGGCAGTGTTACTGTTTTAAAATATTTATATTTCCTACTTTGTTGCTTCTTATTTGCCTCAAATGCTTTTACCTTGTGTGTGTGGTCTGGAGTGGAAAACTACTTTGACAAGATTTTTTTTCTTCATGAATCTTTTCTTAATTACATCCAATAAATGATGTATTTTGTGACAAATTGTCCTTACAGAGAATGCAGAGGAGGTGCCCCCTGCTGGGGAGACTGACGCTCAGCCTGCCAAGCGTGCAGCTGAAGAGGAGGAGGTGAGTTGTCACCAGGCTGAAATGTGCAGTCATAATTATTTTTTTAATGTGTTGACTAATCTGGTGAACTTTGATCTTTGCTAATGCATGAAATATTTTTCTTTTTTTTAATTAGGAAAAGGTGGAGACAAAAAAGCAGAAGACAGAGGAAAATGGAGATTCAAAAGAGGCAGATTCAAAAGAGGCAGAAGTGGAGGCTTAGGTCTCTGCCCTGCTTCTTGTTTGCAGCACTGTCTGATCAGCCTGGTCAACATTGTGTTGTAGAGCTTGTGCTTTCTGTACCTTCTGAGAAATTTCTTTTTGTTTGCTCCCATGTCACATTGCACTGGAGTCCTGAAACATAGTGGCCCTGCATCCTTTTTTATGAAATATTATTTATTGGTCTTTAAAATGAGTATTTTTTTTTTTACTTGTACAAATAGGGCCACACCATGAGATCGTTTTTTTCATTTAAGGTTTTGTACCAGTATGCTAGAAGCACAATCTCTATTAATGCCAGTGCTGACCAGATGATTCATTCACATAGGCAGCTGCTCACCCACTCAAAGGCTCATGTTGACCTCTCAGATTCACTTAAAGGACCAAAGATAAGTTTTAAGCAGGGGCTAATGGACAGTTGTTAGCATAATTAGTTGAGGCATGATTTTTTTTATGTTGAGCTGCTACTTAATCCTTGGATTGGCTGCCCTGTTAACATGACAAATGGTGCAAATAAAGGGGCACTGTCTTGCGCCTCCATGATAAGGTAGCTTGATCTTATGGAGGCAGGATTTTGCAATGTTGATTAACCCCTCTTAAATCTTAAATCTTTGGTCATTTGTTCTGTATGCATTCCACGCAAGTTTGTACCATTTATACTTTGTTTTTCTTACATTGTCAATGAGTTTTATGTTATGGCTGGGTAGCCCAGTTTTGAGTCCCAAGACTGCCTTTTTCAGAACCAGAATGACATTTGGTTACTTCAGCCACTGCTTTGTATATTCTGATTAACAAATAAAATGTCTTTTTACTTAAGTATATGCATTTTGTGTGTATGACACCCTTTTATGGACCATTATTGACTTTTAAAACCATGGCTTTATAAGTAGATGATGTCATTTGACCCATTTTTTTTTTCCCCCTTAACATGGAAAATGGCAGGAAGGAAAAGGAGTAATCTCACTGACTTGGTAATGGAAAAGGGTGCACAGAATCAGTGGATTGTTGTATTGTATGTCCTGGCTCCCCCAAGTGGTGCATTTTAAGATTGCAGATCACTATTTATCAAGTCAACCGGGGAGACCGATATAGGCAGTGGAAAAAAGTTTAAACAATAAATGACACAGGAGTCAAACATGGCAAAATGATCATTTTAGTTTTAACTGAACCCTGAATCAGAGTTGCTTTTACAGTAACACTGCCAATATTAAGCAATAGGTGGTACCATATAACACAAACCAGTGTTTTGCTTTTTTGCAAGCAAGCTGCAACAGCATGATCCTTACAGTTAGTGTTTCCTCAGAAATGTTAGCACGGTGTGCATCCAGTCTGTCCAGGAGGCTTTAATAGTGGGTAACTATTGATGTTCTGCTGAGATGGCAATTATGACTTGCACCATAATGGTATTCAGAGTGTGAGCTAGTCAATGAAACAATCACAATGGTGGGCTTGAAACAGATTATAAAGTTGACCTTGTGTTAAAGCCCTGAAGTCAGGCTTGATGGCGCTGTTGAGGCTGAAAAGACAAAGCATACTGTTTGCCATGGCACAACAGATGTAAACAAAAAATATGTACCATTTTGCCGATCCAAGGTGGAAAAAGGGAATGAAGATGAAATCTTCCTGTGAAGAATTTTGCTAACAGATGTAAGGTATATGCTATACTCAGTTGATGGGCTGAGCATGGTGGAGCAGAAGCCTTCTAACGTAATCATGCGCCCTAATGATGACAAAAAGCACTTGCTGCTGGCTCCATGAACCCCCAGTCTTTTTTTTTTGAATGTTGTCCACCTTCAGGGTAACCCCATAGTTCACATGAGTCTTCTCCCTGTTTGCTGCTCTTCTGTTATGTTGGGTTTCCGACTGAATGCTGATTCACACCCCAGTTTCAACTTCTCCTCTTCCTGATAATGACAAGAATCACTGTCATTATTACAATGGCATGGCCGGGAGTAGGCTGACAGCTCAACAGCTGTCCATGGCTTAGTGAGGGCCCAGACAGAATTTGCCACCAGTACACATTTCTCTGTGTTTTTGAAAGTTTGTGTATGAACATGTGTGTGTGTGTCATCCTATTAGTCATGGCTCTATGCTGATTAAGTACTTAATTAGCACTGGACTTGGAACTTAATTAACCCAGCACATAACTGTGAAATGTGAGGATTGCACACTGGTAAGTGTCATGATGACTAGACTGTGTGGAAAGTGTTGTTTTTATTTGCTGTTAAAATGTGTAAACGTGAAGCCCTTCCAGACTATAATTGTGATTAAGCGTTGTTAAGCTTAATGTGAATTTTGCGTGGGTTTTTAGAGCTCCTCAATTAACGAAGAAGCATAGATGGTGAGTGCGAGTTGTAACTGGCAGCACATTCATTTAGTCAGAAAATCCTGCATACGGTGTGATGCTAATATGCTAACTCAGAGAAACAGGCAGGTAGACATTCCCTTGGCCGTATGACCGAAAACAAAACATTAACATAAGGCTTTGAGAGATTACATTGCAGCTCATGCAGACGTTAGGCAACAGATAAAAGGAAGAAAAAGAGGGGGGAAAGCTGTGGTTAGCCTGTAGGTAGTGATCATTATTTCTATACTAAACACCAACAAGCAAGAAAAGATGATGCAAGATTATATAGCAAAGAATCAGACAGAAGATCAGCTAAGGCTTATCTATACTCAGAGAGGTCACTCACAGTCTCCCTATCATACGCACACAAAGTAACTTGTCCCACACTGCATTCAGAAAGGTCACACATTCGTTTGCAAAAGTTAGGACAAAATGCATGGGCACACACACTGTATGAACACACATATTAGAGCAGTGGCCAATGTCTGTCTGTCTGTCTGTCTAGCTCTGAGAAGAACAGTGCTGATCAGTGTGAAACAATATATGGAGTTGTGCTGTACAATGTGCGGCAGGGTGTGCAGTGTTTGTCCTGTCAGTGCTGTGAAGGTCAACACACTTGGACACTAAGCATGAGTGTGTGTGTGCGTGTGTGAGGTAAAGTAAATTAAGAGGCTTTTCTAAATGTGTACTAATAGTGGCTGGGTCTCGCTTTCGGGGGGCTCACCCTCTGGGGGGGGAAGCTGGTACACCACGCAGAGAGAGGAGTACAGGCAGCCCACGAATGACATCAGGCTTGAAAAGTACATCACTCCCTGGGCCCCACCCACCAGTGAGGTCAGAGGTCCCATCGCCACAGAGACCAGGATCTGAGCCAGGAAATACTGACAGCTGAGCAGAGAGATATCCACCCCCATCCCTCGTCTGGTCCCTTCCTCTGATGAGCCACAAAACTGAGGAACATATACACAGTTTTGTTAAATGATCAATCTATGTGGTGTACCATAAATGACTACAGCGTTAAAGGAATATTTCAACATTATTTGCTTTCTTATTTAAGAGTTAGATACAAAGAATCATACCAATCTCACGTCTGCACGCCATATATGAAGCTACAGCCAGTATCTGGCTAGCTTAGCTTTGCATTAAGACTTGAAACAGGTGGAATCAGCTGCCTGGTTTTAAACAAAGGTAATAAAAGCCCGGGTACTAGCACCTATAAAGCTAATGAAACAATCAGGCAATTAATCCACCACAAATTGTGTTTTTGTGCAGATCGAAACTAGATATAACATGCTAATTAATGAGGTGCTGATAGGTAGATTTTGTAAGCCTTTGTTTCCTGTCTTTGTGCTATGCTAAGCTAAGCGGTTTGGCTTTATACTTTCAACCTTTTTTACCTAACTCTGCAAGAAAGCAAATTTCCCAAAATGTTGAACCGCACCTTTCAGTTAATTCTGGAAAAATACCGTCAAGCAACTACAAGTTACTCTACAAATTAGTATGTTACATATCTACATACTGACCTGGGGGCTCTGGTAGTATTCACATAGCAGAGAGTAAGGCAGCGTGCATAGAGAGGAGAACAGCACCCCATAGGTGACACAGAGGGAAAGTACCACATAGAGGTTGGTGGATAGTGTGGCCAGGCCTGTGCCCAAACCAAACGCCAGGTAGGCAAAAAAATATAGAGTGCGAAGAGAGAAACGCTCCTCCAGTTTCTCCAGTATGGCTGGAAGGTGAAGGACAAACCAGAATGAACAAAATGTAAAGCTTTCCAAGGAAAGGAAGACAAATTCCTGGTAAAATTAGTCATCCTTGGCCAGAGCTACACTAAAATTGCTGATTATGAGTGTAGCTTACCTGAGTAGAAAGCAGCACTGAATGCATAGATGCACATGCCCCAGCAGCCCATGCTGACACCAGCATTGTAGCGTTGGTAAGCCTCAGAGTCATGGGGTGCCTTGGGGTCTCCTTCAAACACAACCTCTCCCATGAAGTCAGTGTAGAAGAGCAGCATGCCCTCAAAGGACAGCCAGCCTAGATAGAACCAATAAGTATCTTCTCAGCTACTATTAAATATAAAACATGCATTTTAAGGTTTTGCAGGGCTTTATGTACAACTACATTTAAATAGTGATTATTCTCACCCAAAAAATGATTAGTGCATAAGCTCCGCAAAGACGGAGGCATCCTGTAGATGGCTATACACAGCAGCTTCATGGACATTTGGGATTCTCCTGTCTCCACATTCTCACTCAGATCACTCTCGTAGCGCACCCCATTCAACAAAATGTTTGCAACCTTCATCAGAGATAACAGAAGACAATGAGTTTAAAAAATGCTGGGGTGGCGACTGACTAAACCACTTTTGTCATTTTCAAAATGCTGACTGACCTGCTGACTGAAGGTCACTGTTCTCCTGCGTCCGTTCTCCAGCCCAACAATCTGGGTTGCCATGGGCTCCTCTATTAGTGCAAGACTCTGGGGTCGCTTCAGGATACCAGCAGAAGAGCCACGATGTGACCCTGCACCAGGCTGAGCCCCAGCTTTGACCTGAGATGCTCCATCTTCCTCGGGCTGTGGCACTTCTGCATCCTGAGCTTCCCCAGCTGGATGAGAAACCACATCAGCCTGGGTCTGTCCCACAGAATGGCTCCCTGCCCCCTGTGTGGACTCGTCAGGCGGAGGGGAGTCGCCCGGAGGCAGGGGCACAGTGGTGGAGTTGGAGGCCAGGACCTGTGCTGTCTGCTGACCTGTGTAGCAGTTTATGAGCACACTGTCTATATAAGAGGTTCCCAATGAGGAGGCAAACTCATTAATGCCAGTGAGCGAGCTGTCCCTACTTATAAAGCTGCCATACTTTGGTGTGAGGGGGCTCAGGGGCGATATCGGGCTAGTGAGGCCAGCACAGAGGCGTGCATTGGCACTGCAAGAATGGGCCAGAGGGTCAGAGTTACACGGCTGAGACTTTCTAGAGAAATTGTAGCTGTAAAGGCCATCCTCATCTTCCTCATCAAGTCCCAAAGCTGATCCTGGGGGAACAGGGGGAGAGGGAGGGAGAGGGAGGCTGGGGCTTTTTAGATGATTTTTGCTGGAGTTTTTGTTCGGCTGACTCTTTGGTAGGGGCCGTTCGGGGATACTCATCAGAGTCATGGCTAGGGCAATCACCAAAGTGATACTCGTGAACATGTATATGACGCGCAGTTGACCTCCCATTGATCTTCCAAATTGTGTCTGGTCCCAGTTGATGCCGCCTACAATGTAGCCAAATCCACCTCCTAGTCCTGCAGGACAAGTTAAGAAACAAAAAATACTTTTTGCAATGACTGGTGATGCCTTAAAGCTTTATTTCAGGTCTTGCCAAATCAAGTTACAGCTGCCATCACCTACGCAACAACTGTATAATGATAAAGTAACCCTGAGTTTGTGACTGTGTAAAGTGTTTTCTTACCTGCAAGTAGAGCATGGATGTTCAGCCCCCGATCCTGGTCCTCTGGGCTGCACACATCCATCATGTAGGCATGGCTCGGGTTGTCTGCTGAATCAGCACTGAAGTCCATCAGAACCACACCACACACAGTCAGGATAATTCCCCACTTGTGATTTGTTGCCGTGTCAGCCAGCGCACCTCCAATGTCCCGCCCGTTCAGCACCAGGGATAGGCCAAGCAAAGCACCTACGAGGGAGAAAAGCAGAAGAAAGATTTTTTTTAGCATCAGCACTAGAGTTCAACAGACCTCTTAATAAGTGTGAAGGAGCACTCAACTGGATTTACAGTAGTCCAAAGTAGACTACAGTAGTAGTGCAAAGTCAGTCAAAACAGTTATGTAATGTCTCCTGCGGCCCTGGGGCAGCTTTGACAAGTCTGAGAAAAATCAAAGTATCTCAGTGTGGGCTTGGAGACTACACTTTTTAACAGAAAGCCTGTGTTTATCACTGGGCTGTGGAGTTTGAGAGACATCTGCATTTACCAGAAAGGAAAGGCCAAACAAAACATGTGTATCAAGCTGCATTATGGGAAGTGTAGAATCCAGTGTTTTAGTGATTTTCCTTCATATTATCCACTAAAAGTCAGGATGTCAGTTTTGACCATTGTACTTACTAAATACAATAATAAATGGCTGGAGTACATTTCTTACCTATAGCCAAGGCAAAAATAAAGGGTCTTCTTCGCCCAAATCGGGACGTACAACGATCACTCCACGCTCCAATGAGAGGCTGAACGAGGAATCCTTCAAACACAGGAGGAGGACAGAGTTAGAGTCCAAAGAGCTGCACAAGATTACAGCCAAATCACATGATGATGTATCTCATATCCCTCTCCACCGAGTGTTCATCTCGCCTTGCTGTTCACTTACCCAGTATGGGACTAATAAACCACACCAAGCTGTAGAATTGATCAGGCAAGCCCATCTGCAGAAGCACAGGAGTCACATAAGCTGTTTCCATGGCATAGCTAAATTCAATACCAAACAGGATGCAGCCATTGAAGAGCAGCTCTTGGAAGGTACGCCTCGGGGGAAGCTCACTAAGGTCCAGCTGGTCTAGGGGACAGGGTGTGTTGGGCGGAGGAGGTGGTGAAGGTCTTATCAGCTTCCGACGCTTTGGCTGTCTTTGGAAGTTGTTTGCCCGATGACTGAGGTGCCGAGTGGTGGACGTCGGGAAGCTGGCAGTTTTGGGGAGTGAGCTCCTCCAGATCCCTTCCTGAGCTGTGGATAACCTCCCTCCTGGACTGGCCAAAAGGGGGTCACTGGGGGTGCCCATGCCCGGGGATGACATCTCTCTCAAGCCAGCTTACACTGCAGCATTATAGAAGGGTATTACACTAAGTTAAAACTTGTTTGGGGTTTTACATTGGAGGTCATTCAAGATCATCACAATGTAGGCTAGCCTAGCATGGTAGTCATGTGAGCAACTTAGTGCTGCTAATGGTTATGTAGTGCAACCAAGAGTACACTGCAGTCATCAGCAAAACAGCAATGATGGGCACGACACACTGCAACCAACGCGCATGTTAGTGTTGTGCGCAAAGCCCATGTGCTCGGCGTGGCTGACTACAGCAGTGTAGTATGCGGCACCGCTCTCAGGAAAGCCTGTTTCCATTTTAATTTTTCATAGAGGAAGCTCTAATCGGACACAATGGAGCCGCTGGGGGTTATAATGGTGGCTTTCAGGACAGTTACAAGGATAACGTATCATTATCGCTCAAATTTAAACTAAACATTTGACCAATAGGCTACAGATCCTTTCACGTAACCGATCGTTCGCTTTTTTGTATGTCTATTTGGCTAATGATCTGCTATTTTCCCTAACTTGACATTTGGTTCTTAAGGTGAAGACCACACAATCGACTGCTCTGTGTCAGAAGATGAAGCAGGCGTGCAAATTGAAACGTGAAAGATGATAATTACCTTATCGGGGAGGCTCGTCATTTATTGCGGCAAACTGTGTAGGTGAACAGACCAAACATAGTGATTTATAAAACACGTAGGATGAATTACAGGAGTCATGATTGTTGTTTTGTTTTCCCTTTTTCCATGTAGTCATCCCCCCGCTCTCTCTCTCCGTCCCTTCTCCTCTTCCCCTCTTCTCTTCTCCCCCTTCGCCTCTTCCTCCCGGCCTCTCCCGTGACGTCACGCCCCTCCCTTCAACATCAGCACCGGGGACAGTCCCCGCTGAAAACACGGATCTGCAAATCCGTCCTTTGCTCGAATATACATACAAACATGTATTTAGATAACAATGATCAGCACCATTACCCCTTGGTACCCCTACTTAAGTACAAATTTGAGGTACGCTATACTTCTACTCTAATTTCATGCTACTTTATATTTATAAATCTTGTAGCCTACTTTTTACTCCACTAGTCCACTACATTTGTCTGACAGCTATAGTTAACAAATGGGTTAAATAAACTGATGAAATTAATTAGGCCTACATCCTAACCTGATGTGCAAAACACTGAAACTTAAATGATCCCTGAGGAGATGTAATGCACCATCGCATTAAGACAGCTACAGTAATGGAAATGCAAAGATATCCTGGTTGAATCCTGTACATTACATTAATTTAGTTGATGCGTTTATACAAAGCAACTTACAATTGCTAAATATTTCGCACACATAGATAGATAGATAGATAGATAGATAGATAGATAGGTAGGTAGACACTTCATTTTCTGCATTCTGGTGAAAGTTTCTCCACACATCTATGGTGGAAATGCAAACACAAAATTCAGGCAGTGACTTTTCAAAATATATAAATATAACAGAATCCATAGTCAGTGCAGCTCTCAGGTATTCTGTGCTGCTTTCAGATCTGTTTCTCCTGAAGATCAACTTTTCTCATGTAATATCCTCCCTGCTGAGGCAACACATATGTAGTCATGATTTAGTCTTCCCTCCTCTTTTGTCATGTTCAAAGGGAGAGAACGGAAACTTGGCCAAAAAGAAGTGTGTCAAGAAGTTGTTAAAGTTACTGATTGGTGCAGCACGTTTATGGGTCATTTTCTAATCAGTAGCTTGTTTTTATCAGCTTGAGTTCCTTTTTTTGGACAATGCACATTTGTTACTTCTATATTTTAATTGCATTGCATGTTTTCTTAATGTGAAAATAAACCTTTTCAAAGGCCTTTTCATTTGTTATTTAACTGCAAGCTATATTTCAACGTTCAATGTTTTTTTAACAAGTTATGCTTTCAAAAAGTGGTGGGGACATGTCCCCTATGGAGGATAAATACATACATAAATAAATGCTCAATAAATAAATAAGCATATGATTAACTGCACAAAAAATAAAGTAAATAAATAAATGTAGGCATAAAACTGACAAAATATATTAAAACACACACATAAATAAATACATTTAAAAAAGAAGTAATTAATAAATAAAGTTGAAGATTATAATGGACAATAAATAAATAATTTAATTAATACAAAGGTGAATAAATAAACAAGCTAATTAAAAGAGATGTATACATTTATGTCTCATTGTATAATTTAATTACTGCCTACATTTATTTATTAACTTTATTTTTGTGCCTTTAATATGATGCTTATTTATTTATTGAGCATTTATTTATTTATGTATTTATTTCTTAATCTGTCAGGATCAGTCCTCCATAGATCCCCAGCGTCCCCAGTGTAAATGAAACCTGTTTCCATCTGAAATGGAGGAGAAGCATAAAGTGGCAACAGATTAAAATCAAAGTAGGCTACAGGAGGAGCAAGGAGTTAACAGAATACAGACGGATGGAACAAAAAGCGACGGAAGTGAGCAAATAGAGACCATGCAATAAATCTCACTACCTTTGAGCTCACATAGTTATCGTTATAACACACCTTATGCAACCTGCATTTTGAAAAACTGAATATTTTCAAATGTTCACTTTGAGTTCATATCAAAACTGGTGGGGCAGCGTTGCAAGCGCAGCACAAGGTGTAAGAAAACAGTAAAGTTAAAAATAAATAAATAAATAAATAAAGCTACTCTGATTACAAAACATAAAACCAGTTTGGGTTGATTTGGTGGTGCTGAAAATTGCACTTACGAAGTCCCGCCTCCGTTACGTACACCGTGCGCTGTAATTGGCTGTTTGTTCAGCAGCAGCAGAATCTGATTGGGCGTCAGTCTTCAGTGGGCGTATCAGGATACAGTTGTTTTGCAACTGCTGACGGGCATTACAGTAGACGTTTTATAGAGCCTATAAGGACTTTGGCGTTACTCAAACATTATTACTACAAGGTTATACAGGCTACTGCACGAACTGTACATCTCTTGTAACTTTGTTGTAGAAAATGACAAACGTCGATCTCGATCAAGTTGGAAAGAACTTGTTGAAGAGCGCTGAAACTGGAGAGGTAAGCCATAAAACTGGCTGACTGTTTAGCTTTGTGCATTCCTCTTCTTGGTTGTATCTATTCGGTTGATTGGTTTGTGTTTATAGATTATCTCTGTTAGAGGCATGTGTTCCTTGCTGAGTCAAATTGTATGAAACCTGCAATTAGGCTACCTCACAGCTTTGATTATAGGCCTATCTGTTGTTAAATCACGCCTCCAGGGTGACATAATGATGGTCTGAAGGGAATAGTTGTGAATATGTATTAATAATATTGTTTGAATCTATGAGGTTTCGCTGATAACGGATCAAATTAGTACAGTCTACCTACACTCATTTCGTATCTGTTGCCGATGTGTCACATGCTTTGTGGTTCCTCTGCTTCATTGTGGGTTTTTCCCCTCTGTGTGTATTGCAGAGTGTAGAGCTCCAGTCTCTGTGGCAGAACCAGCCGGTGGTCTTTTTCTTCCTGCGCAGGTTTGGCTGTCAGGTGTGTCGTTGGATAGCATCAGAGATCAGCAAACTAGAGCCGAACCTGAGAGCCAGCGGTGTAGCGCTGGTGGGAGTTGGACCAGAAGAGTTTGGTCTGAAGGAATTCAAGGAAGGCGGGTTTTTCAAAGGATGTAAGTTACTCATCGAATGCTAACAAGAGTTCTCTTTTATGTTTGCATTGCACTGACACAAGAGTACACTCTAAAATATAAAACACAATCTGATCCACTAAATAAATGTTTGCACTATTAATTGGTCACTTTTATTTCTGTCTTTTCATTCATCTTTGAAAGTGACAAAGGAAAATGTGCCAACTGCATAAATAAACAACAATAAACCAACTCTCCCCAATTGTGATGGGTTTAGTCAACCAAAAAACAAACAAAGAAAATAATCAAGTGAAACAGGATCTGACAGTGCAGTTCAGATTGCCATCACCTGGCTGCAATTCAAATACACTATATGGACAAAAGTATTGGCACACCTCTACATTAAACCTACAGCAGTTTTTGTGACATCCCGTTCTTAACCTAAAATAAAAGAAATTAATATCAAGTAGATCCCCCCTTTTGCAGCTGTGACAGCTTCCACTTTTCTGTGAAGGCTTTCTACAAGATTTTCGAGTTTGTCCGTGTGAACTCTTGCCCATTCAGCCAGAGGAGCATTTGTGAGGTCAGACACTGATGTTGGATGAGAGAGCCTCGCTCACAATCTCTGTTCTAGTTCATCTCAAAGGTGTTCAATAGGGTTATGGTCAGGGCCTTGTGCGGGCCTGTCAAGTTCTTCCACACCAAACTCATCCGACCATGCCTTTATGGACCTTCCCTTGTCCACTGGATTTAATACACCTGTAGCAATGGGACTGAATGAAACACTTGGATTGAATGATTAAGAGGTATGTCCCAATACTTTTGTCCATATAGGGTATTTATGAGATGTTGAAACACTTATAAGTGTGATCAGAATCTATTTGGTAACTTTGAAATAAGTAGACCTATGTATCTACTTTTCTTATACTTCTAATACTTTTTTTGTTACATAGCTTGCGGCAGCAACCCTCATTGTAACTTCGTAATCGCTGCATTGTCACCCTTTGACAATCAAACTTATGTAACAGAAATGTGTCACAAGGATTTAGACATGATTATAGAGCCCGTCACTCAACAGCCAGTGGTTTTGTAGGATTGTATAAATAATCATCATAATCTTCTCTTTTAGCCATTTACATTGATGAACAAAAGAAAAGCTACAAGGATTTAGGCTTCAAAAGGTGAGTACAGTAAAACCACGTTCCCTTCTTGTAACAGTGAAGCAGTTTGCTTTATGTGAATGTTTTGACATGAAGATGTTAATTGTTTTCAGAGGGATCAGTCTTAACCATAAGTATATACTTGCTGCAACGATTAGTAATCAATTAGTCAAGTAACAGATTGTAATTTTTTAAGCATATAATTCACTTGCTAGTTCTAGCCCTTCTAATGTGAGGATTTTCTTCTTTCTTGAATGATAGTAAAAAAGATATGTCTGGGTTTTGGACTGTTGGTCAAAAGAAAAAGACATTCTCTGTGGGAAATTGCAATGGGCATTTTTCACTTTTCCTTTGGTTTGAACACTTGTGCTAATCTTCTGTCTTTTGCAAGAGATTAGCCAGCTTGTGATGATCTTTAATTGAGAGACTGTTTTTTCACACTCAGGTACACAGCCATAAGTTTGGTTCCTGCAGCTCTGGGGAAGAAAGTACGAGATGTAGCTGCAAAGGTAGATATCGTCATGACTATCTGATTACTTCATGGTTTGTATGCCCTCTGGTCACAGAAGCAGGGCTAAAGTTGCTGAGACCCAGACTAACTTTTGACTGCCTGTTTTCTTTGCTGTGTTCAGGCCAAAGCTGATGGCATCCAGGGAAACTTCTCAGGAGATCTGCTTCAGAGCGGAGGCATGCTCATTGTTGCCAAAGGTACAATCAATATACACCAGAGGGACGTGCTAGTAAGGGTCTGGCTTGTGAAGTTGAAAAAGTGAATGGAGAAAAGCAATCATAGATTAAAGACAGAAGGAACGTGTAAATGACCTAGTAGCATGTCACAGACTTATTTCCGATCATTTAAATGACCGTAAATAAATGGTCTAAGAAATGCATTTTTGCAGTTTCTCCACTAGAGGGCAATGCTGCATCACATCATTGTAGTGGTTGGAAGTTCATAGTGAGCTCTCCCAATCCCTCCCTCTCTCATCGTCAGCCCTCCCCAGGATTGCTGCTTTGCTCACTTCTTCATTTCTTGTATCCACAAAAGTGTTGGGTTAATAATTCTCCAAAATGAATCTGCAAACAGGTGGGAGAGGCACAGTCCAAAATATTTACAGCACAACATTAGAGAAACTAACAAGATTTTAGAAACATTTTAGAGATTTTAGCACCACAATTGTTGATGTTTTCATATGGGATAGCAAAGGGAAAGCAATACAACAAAGACACTTTAAGGCAGCTTAATACATTTTGTGTGTCCACTTAATAAAAGTAATTTATACTTACCCTTTATTAGTGTGTCATTATGGTGCGTCATTGGCTGCTTGTTCTTATGGAAAGGAATCAGCTGTAGGAAATAAATTACAGGTTACTCTGTCCTCACTCCGCCATTTAAAAATGTTGGCTCCACCAAAAGTCTTTTTTGGCAATAGTTGGCACCCCTTACTCCTCTTTGATTGATTGATAATTCGTCTGAAATATATTTTGTTCTGCAAAGGTGGAGAAAAGGTCCTATTGCACTTTATCCAGGATTCACCGGGAGACCACCTACCTCTGGAGGATATTTCCAAGGCTTTGGGTATCTCAGCCAAAGTAGAAGAAGGACAGCGGCCAGTGGTAAGACATCCTATAAACATACAAGAAATGATGAAAGAAATTATTATTGTGAAGGTTTTTAGTCACTGAGTCACTTTAACCAAATGGTATTGTTGTGTTAACTAAAGCACAATGGACTGATGTATTAGTCTGTTTTTTCACCCCCAGCAGACTCAGTTTCACCTTCAGAGTAGCCTCTTCAAAGACAATTTCACACTTATTACTCCATCTTCATGGTCTGTCAGTGTCTGTGTCATAGGCCCCCAAAACCTTCTTCTTCTAGTTGCACTTGCAAATGCACTACAAACACAACAAATAAGTTATTATACAAGTACCATATAAGTAGTCTGACATGGAGAACCTGTATTGACTGTCTTATAACAAATTTATGCAATAAACTGTATATTCTTGTTTTTCTCACAAAACTTTCATGTAGCTTCAGCAGTGCTCCACAGAATTAAATGTCAAGAATGTCATGGAGAAACTAATAGGTTTAACATGTCACAGAGTCTTATTATTATGGCATCAATGGAAAATCTTTGTACATACTGTAACACATAAGAGCCTGTCATGTAGTTGTAACATTATTAACATAGTGGTAGAAGTAATGTTGAACTTTGCCAAGTAACATACACAGTGGGATTTAAAGAGAAGAAAGGGCCGGTGTTGTCATGTCAGTGTTCAAAGTTGGTACTTAAACACGAGGACATAAACAGGCTCACATAGTTAAACATGTTACGCAAGAAAAAGGACAACATTTATTTAAGTCTTAAATGTAATTTAATAAGTGAGAATACACTTTGTTTACATTTTAAGTTTAAAGACATTTTTGGAAAGTGTGAGGAAGTGGAGACTCGTTGTCCATCTTTCTCCAACTCCCTTGCCCCCTGGCTCCGTTGCTTGCTTCCCACAAAACCCACCATGTCAGAGATATTGCAGCATGTACAGTAGGCTTGACCTGTCTCAAGATCAACAAATGTCAGGAATGTCAGGAGCCCAGGAACAGAATAGTTTTCTCTAAGGTTCAAAATGTGTCAGAAACAAATGTGAGTCACAAGCTATCTGACATGCTTGTGTGGAAGAAACCCTGAAAAATTTAAAGCTTTGCTAACAGAGTCCGGATTAAAACCAAGTTATGTCGTCTTGCTGACAGACTGTGTTTACCATTGTTATCTGTGTCTAGAGATGGAAATCCTCAAACTAATTTCCCTGAAGAACACCGTGTGTCTCAACTTCAGCACAGTGTGTCTCAGGCCCCATAAACAAGACATGTTAACGGTTTAGACAAACAAAGTAGAATACAAAGTAGTATCCTAGAAATTGGGAGTGCTGCTCATGTATCAGCTTATCTGTATTATACTCACAGATAAGTAGTTAAAGTAAACAACACATGACACAAACTGTATCACTCACCACAACCTGTCAAAAAGTGGGTGGAAAACACTTTCTGCTTTGATTCATTCAAGCATAAACAGTTCTTTCTCTGCATGATCATACATTAATCCTTATTCTTGTATTTTTAGTGAAACCTGAAACAGTTGGTTCATCAATTTATATGATATGCAGTAAGATATCTTTATTAATCCTCAAACTAGCACTAACAAAATGGGCTGCAACTTTGCATTTTTTTTCCATTCATTAATAGTTTGGTCTATTAAATGTCAGAAAGTAGGGGAAAATGTCCATTGCAATTTCCCAGAGCCCAAGGTGGTGTCTTAGGAGAATTATTTATTTTGTGTGAACAACAGTCCAAAGCCCAAAGATATTAAAATGGCTGTTGTAGCTTCTCACATTTGAGAAGCTTGAAAGAGAGATTGTTTGGCATTTCTTCTTAAAAAAACTCTTCATCGACTCATCATTTAAGCTCTACAATAAATAATAAGGCAGCTGAGATGGTCAGCTAACAAGCCTGAGAACTATGTTAAACACTAACTGGATATATGTCATTAAATGAACTGTACCTGATTTGCCTATGTGTTCAGGCCAGGTTAAGTGATTTCTGTTATTTGACCTCCTGTTGAAAGCTATGGCCCAGTCTTGTAGGTGCAAGATTGTGTTAGTACTTAACTGCTCTACGCGGGTTTAAATATTTTCATGGTTGCATTCCAGCAGGTCACAGTAAGAATTTGTTCATTAATAGGCAGTTTTCAAAAATAGGTTTTGGCAAAAGGACAAGAAAACTGGTTGATCTTTGGCCCTTTTATCAGAATTTGAATACAGAGGCACAAGAAAACAGGGAGGTTTAAATCAAAGACTGACACTGTCCAGAGGCTCGCTTGGCTTTAACACTTTATGTTTTGTTGACATTGATTTTACTCCCTCATCGTATTCATCGATCTGAAGTGTGTTTTATGAGCTGTTAAACAGGGTCTCCAGGTCCCCAAACAGAACATTAGGGTGTAGTAGTAACATTTTCTCTAGCCAATTGATTTATGAGCAGATATTAAATAGAGATATTTAGCAAAAAAAGGAAAAATATTGTGATGCTGAAAAATGCTGAATTGTAGCATCATCCTCCATCACTGAGCAGCTAGAAAATGTGTCAGAGGAAAAAAATGGAAGTATTTGAAATGACAAAAGAAAGGAAGTGTCTGTTCTGTATTTATGGTGCACATGAAACTGTGATTGATTCACAATATTGATCAAGACCCTTGTCAGCCCTCTGCAGATACATTATGACCATTTTGTGGTTTGGGATTGTTAAAATATTTCCTCTTGATGTGGGAATATTTGTGTTTTTGTGGTTGTTTAATTTACATATCAATAGAAGCAATTTCTCTCTCCTGGAAAATGAACCTTGCTCAAAGTTTTCATTTGCATGCACTTAGGCAGATGTAGCGCACGTGTAACACAAGCTGTCACGTTGCCTGTTTAGACGGGCAGATTGATTAAAATAGGAGCAAATCTGTTCTGTCAAACTCTTTCTATATAAAAATGCAATAAAAGAAAGTTTAAATGAGAAATTGTTCATCCAACGTGTAAATTCATCGCTCTCGCTCATTATTTGATGTTTAACCATTGTACCATCTCTTGCAGTGCAATGATGACGTTTGTACACGATGATGACCTCGCTACCCATTGTACCTGATGAATATAATAGAAGAAGTGGAATGTCATCAAAATACTAAAGTGAACATAACACTGCTGGTAGTATTTCTAATTGCTTGTAATTTTTTTGTGACTTTTTTTAATCTGTAGTGACATTCCTTTATAATGATTACCTTCAATTGTAAAAAAAAAATAAATAAATAAATAAATAATAATAAAAAATGTCATGGATTTTCAACTTTCCTTACACATACTGATCATGATTGTTTTGTTTTTTTAAATTGGCTATTTATGAATTTGCATGTATTACTCTGTTTATAAAATAAATATATAAATGATTTTGTATGTATCTAAGTATAGTAAAGTTTAAAAGCAAAACTTTGCTTCAGTCAGAGAGCAGTTTCAAAGTGGAGTGGGGATTTAATAAAGGTGAGAAGATATCAAACATTTTAACATGGTCTATTATGCAAGATCAATAGTTTGTTGACCACATTAATAAGTCAAAACTCCTATGGCTCCATCATAGGGTTATACATCACCATCATAGTGCTTCAATTTACTACCCTTCCACAAATCTTCACATTATTTCTGTTGCAGTGTTTACTCTCCATCTATGTGTTCACCTGAGACTTAAAACTGGCTGATATTGTCACCCCCACTGTATCCAAAGTGTCTCTAAACTTTTTTAATTAAAATTTTTTTGTGATGGTGATGCTTTCACAGTCACACTTGCTTAAAATGTACTACATATCTGTAAATTTCCCAAAACTTTAACATGATTTCAGATTTATTCAATGCACTGATGAGCCACCCTTATTCTTATTTACTGAGCATGAGCCTTGGTTCATATACAAAAAGAAGACATGATGTTGTGACTTTAACATGAAGATGAACATAATGCCTTTAAGTGGGTGCTTTTAAGGCTTTACAGTATCACAAATGCATATGTTGCATAGGATCTACTTGATCGTTTAGCCTCGGCATGGTTGAGAATTAATCTTACATTTTGACAGGTTTTTATATAAATATACAAAAATGAAAATTACACATTTAAAGGAGAGACTTGAGTACCAGTTGAGACAGTCACTTTTAATGGCATCTAGATAATTACATAGCAGCAGGAACATTCATAAAACATCTTTAACATCTGAATTCTTGCAAAGCAACAATGTTATTTCATAAATATTATACAGATGAAAGATGTTCATATATAACAAAAATGTATTTGATAATTTCAAAACTACACAATTTCACCAGGTAAGTAAATGTGAAGCTAGAACTAATTGGGTAAGAAATGTACACTCTTTCTTACCTGATTTGAATCCTTTATATGTAAATACTGCAGTATAGAACATCAAGTATTTACATTAACACATTTTATATTATGTACCCGTTGAACTGTTTCACTCTTTTTGAGGAAAACTAGACAAAAAAAATACAAGAGTCAAAGCTGTTGCCCTTCAAATGGCAGCCCCATGTTCCACATTTCTTTGAACCAGACATTATACATGTGCCGTGTTTAAAGGAATAGTTTGACATATGGGGAAATATGCATCTTCAATTTCTATGGGAGATTGAGATGAGAAGGTTGATACCACTGTTTTTGTGTTTGTCTGTTAAACATAGGTCTGCAGCTAGCGTAGCACAAAGACTGAAAGCAGGGGGAAACGGCAAGCCTGACACTGTCCACAGGTCGGCCTGTTTAATCTGCCCAGAAACTTGTAAAAAGTGGCTGTAGCCAAGAATTAGTCCAGCAGATAACCACCTGTAAAAAGCAGATTTTTGTTTCTGTTGGAGAGAGCTAGACTTGCTGTTCCCCAGTTTCCCATCTTAATGCTAAGCTAACAATATGCTGGCTGTAGCTTATATTTATCAGACAGAAGTAAGAGTTGAATCAAATTTCTCATCTAACTCTCTGCCATCAGCGAATAAGTGCATTTCCCAAAATGTTGAACTTTTGCTAAGATGGCAGCACACTATCAGCCTTTACATTCTGAGTAATTAGTGTACCCTCTCCCTCTGCTAAACACAACAGTATTTGCTAATGTGAAGACTGAGAGACAGAGTGTAAAACGTCAATATGCACATTCAATTCGGCAGCCTCTGTGGAGACCTAAAAGCCGTGTTCAGTTTACCAAGGCATCCTGAAGGTGACCAATGACAAGCAAACATTCAAAACCAGCTTTGTTTGTTTTTTGTTTGAAAGCTCTCTTCAGCCCAGAATGGTGGCTTCCTGCAGCCACCAACTCCATCCTCACTTATGAGTTCTGCTCTGCTTTGATTCTCCTGTCATTACTTGTTAATAAAGGTAGAAAATAACAGTCCTGGCCATCTTTTTAATGACAAGCCCCATTCTTCAGTGTGTCTGCCTGCAGGCTCGTGATTCGGCAGTAACCACGCTTCAGCACACCGCACTTCATCCTTTAATCTTACACAGCACTGATCAATGCCAGATCAGAGGACAAACCACTTCATCTGCTGCCTGTTCATGTGTCAGTGTCTCTAAGAGGTTTTCTTCCCCCTTCCCCCTAGCATGTAATTGGCTATGCCCAGACACTAAATGTCTTGTAATCACTGTTTGTTCACGTCTCTTCTCAGGAGATTGTGTGGGGAAGGAATGGTCAGGTCATCTACAAATCAATTAGCATGTTGAGTAAAATGTAAACTTACAGACATCAAACAAGCAGACATAATTTTTAATAAATGTAGGTAAGTGCCATCTAATAAATGGCACATGTTAGGAGTTTTGGTAGCTATAAATAAGCCCAGTATTCTCTTATTCTCTCGTAGTAACTCTTGGGAGCCTCTCAGAATCATGGAAAAAGTGGAACACACACCACAGCTGTGATAAGAAACCGCCTGGATGCCCAAGCCTGTGTCTAACAGCAGCCAGTAGGTAACCAATAATGCAATAAAGTGATGTACATTGGTTTTTCATCATTATCATCATATCACTCTATCTCCAACAGGCGCATTCGCACAAGTTAAAAAGTAGCAGGCCACCAATATATTTCAAAACATCTGGAATATGGTTTCTTACAGCAAACTGTCATGACGTATACATTTCTGCAAGGAGTAATGAGCAACAATCATCGGCAGAATGTGATAAAGAAACTTATTTTTAAAAAATCCTTCAAAAAGTACTAAATAGCTTTGTAAATTTTAAATATTTGTCCACTCTGTAATTGTAAAAATGTTGAAAGCCGCAGCTCTCTCAGAATGTTAATTTAAGGTTAAAGCTGCAAAGATTTAACAGTCTTAAAGTCTTTAGATAATTTGTTTCATGTAACAGTGAATGACCAAACTCTCAGAGTGTGACTAATTCTATTGTAGCTTTACTTTAGCAAAGCCCCGAGCTTTCATTTATTTCATACTCTTCAGTCAGAGTTAGATTTGTTCACTATTGTTTCTTCTGAACTGGCACAATGTCTTGAAAGCAATACATCAGAGGAAAGACACCAAGGCAACTCAGTGCACAATGATAATGGATAAATCACAAAGATCTGCACAAGAGTTTTTTTTTTTTAAATAATTAATTCAAGAATGGCTGGAAAAACATTTAAAGTCAGCTATAAAAGCTTCAACCTTCTCACAAGGTCTTAGTTTTCTGTGTTGCCTTTTTAGTCATGTAACCACTCTGTGTCGTGTGACACAGCAAAAACAACAAGTGACCTTCTCATCCAGAGACAACACTTCAAAAGTTTCTTTTTTTATAATGTATGTGCTTTAAGTTTTAAAACAAGGGTGTATTCCAGGATGTCATCCATTTCAGATACATCTACAGTATATGCAAATATCTTGTTCATCACTCTGCCCCAAATAAATTGGAATAAGCAGGATGCCTCTGTGGTTTTAAGAAGTACAACTTGCTCTTTTAATTTGAGTTACCCAGGTAAAGAAATAAAAACGTCAGGAGTAAAACTTTCTACCAAACACGACATTTCAGCTCGGGGTTCATTGGACTGCCTTTTTGGCACTGGAAAGCTTCTGAGAATGCTTCAAAATTCTGGAGAGATCCAAGCACCCTAAATACAAAAGAAAAACAAAACATTATTATATAAATTATACAATAATAATATTAATAAAAACTCAAGTATGTTACAGATGTGAGACTGCTAAGTGTGAATCCAGTTGCCATGTCCTCACATTTGGATGAACGAACTGAGCTGCTCTACCTAAATGACACTTTTCTGGCGAGTATTTATAGCTTAGCTTATAGCTTATATTTACAGTGTGGTAAATCTTTAAATTCAATGAGTGCTGAGACTGGAGGGAAGGTGAAGCAGCTCTAGTCTTAGTCCATACACAGAGGGAGTAACAACAACATAAGTTACATTTGACTCTCAAATTAATGTGTAAAGTCATTGACTGTTACCTAAAACTAAAAAAAACCTGCAATAACTGAGCAAGCTGTGAGTGCAACACTGACATATTATCACCTTTTAAGGTAACATGGCAAACCTCTTTGCAAGATCACCATGTCACCTGCATGTCACCATGCAACAGTTGCTTATTTACACAACTCACAGTTACAGAGCACACATTTGAAGTCATGTGTCTGGCCACCCGATGAATGCAAGTCCTATATTCACTCTAATTTAGCTCCACTATGTTCACCAGCTACTAGCTTTGCCTGTGTAGGTAGAGTATACAGTGGGTTTTTGGAGCTTTTATGCCCAAAAACAAAGACATAAGAGCAGTGAGAGTGAACCAACACAGTAAAGTTGTGGGCCAGAAAACCAAAACAATGAGCTGAAAGACGCTAAATCGCTCCATAGAGCTGAGTGGAACTGCAAAGTTGGGTGATAATTATCCGTGTCCATCCAGTGACACTTTTCACATAGAGGTTGATTGTCATGTGATTTCGAGACTGAAACACATGATGAAAACAACATGAACTAAGCTGGTAAAATAAGTGATTAAATTGAGCAGCAAGTTGATCCTTTGGCTTCATAAACAGTGTGCCTGTTGTTATTAATGGTTATGGTGTAAAATAGTATTCTATTTATTTTTTATTTGATGTAGCAGTTTCATAATTTTCACTGCACATTTGGATCAAAAGTGCACAAGAACAAATGTATTTACAACAGTAGATTCAAGGCCACAATGTACTCATCAATAGAGTAGTAGTTCAATCAGTAATTAAATCTATCAAACTACCTATTAAAATATTCTTATTGGTTCTGACATATCTGAGCATACTAAAGCTCCTTACCTGTATTCTAATGGACTGTGAGAGTCAGTCTTGATGGACTGGCTGGCATACTCAGGCCGATAAGCACCACACCACACCTAGAAAAAAAACAAAAACAGATTGCATAAGTAGAGAGTAATCTAGTTTTAAAAGCAGTCATTGGGAGTTAAAATAAAACTAAAATAATAATATAATCTAACTGACTGACCAACTGACTGTGAAATTCACCATCTCAGTGGGGAGTGATTGTGGCTTTTGAAAAAGATTCGTACTGGGTGTTTGATCTGTTTCACTGTTGATGACAGTTTTCTGCTTATACTTTACATTCCATGGCACTGCGATCACTCTTTACTTTAGCAGCTCTTCTCGTCCCCTATGTGTGTAGCTGAACACTGATTTGCTCTGGTATTGTTTCAGCGTCTTACCCCCTGACCTGTTCCCTATGTCCCAGTGTTTACTTCTCAGCACCAAACATCCACTGAAAAAATGCATCTCCCAAGCTTTGGCTCTCCAGATGGAGAAATTCTCTGCCCTCTCTGCTGAAATAATATTCAGAATATAATACGTTCCCTCATTATTCTTACTCACTTGGGCAAAGTTAAGAAAGAAAAGTTGCCTGTGATCCATCTCTAGACCAGGTAGACGAGGCTCTTCACCCTCCGTCTCAACCCACTTTAGATAAGCCTGTAAACACACACATACACACACACAGACAGTTAAAAACAGTTTACATGTGCAGAAAGTTTATAATAAGCATTTTGGAGTTTGTCATTGCTGCTGAAATAGTAACATGGGGTTTTGTACTCTTGCATTATCATCCAACCTTATATGCTTGACGAACCCCTCCGTTGTCAGCGATGTTCTCCCCCAAAGTGCTGATTCCACTGACCTGCAGTCACGCAGAACAATGTGTGACATGAACACACACCAACAGAAAAAACACTCAGCCGCGTAATACATGGTTTACATTGTCAGGTGATTATAGCCGAGACAAAACCTTCATTTTATATATGCCACTGGGTCCTTACGTTTTGTCCACCTGCTAGCTTCCAGTTGAAGTTGCCGTACTGTTGCACCATGCACTGTGACTGCTCTTTAAAATGCTCAGCAGAGTAATTACTCCACCAGTTTAGCATATTACCATCCTTGTCAAAATTACGCCCTGCAAGGAAACATAATGCATTTATTAAAGTACTGTTTGCCAAACATGATGTTTGTAACGGTCGGTTGTTGGTAGCAGCAAACTTAAAATAAAGTGTTATTATAAAATGACAGTGAATGATAAACTGTATTTCTCAGTTTGGGCTTCCTAAAATATCCATGATGTCACTGGTGTCTCACCGTTGTCATCAAATCCATGTGTGATCTCATGTCCGATAACCATTCCTATTCCACCAAAGTTAAGAGCCTGGTGCTGATGTTTACTGAAAAAAGGCGGCTGTAGAATTCCTGCTGGAAACACTGGACAGACAAAAACAACAGCGGTGTAAACAAGTACTGGGAACACTAAACAGGATTACAATGCGGAGTGACTCTCTCTCTCTCTCTCTCTCTCTCTCTTATTTGTCACAGAGGCTCTCGGGGGGCCTCGTTGATTCTTGTAAAGCTCTCACCTATCTGGTTTCTGTTGGGTGAGTAGAATGCATTCACCACAGCAGCACCGATGATCCACCTGACAAGTAAAGATGCACATAGCATATTTTGGACCATGAAACAATATTTTAACTTATTTTCAGTGTTGTTTGGGGATTACTTGTTGAGGACAGAGCATCTTTCTCTTGTCTCAACAGGACAATCAATGCACCATTTCCCTTTTTGAAAATCTACGTTTTGGCTGAGCGCAAACCTGTTTACGATCTTGGAAACAGGAAGAAAGAATGAATGATTGATTTTTAAAATAGGGGTTTGTGTTGTCACCCATGATTATGTTTAATGTCAAGCACATGAAACATGGAGCCTGCCTGATTTCAAGAGCTTGTGTTTTACTAATAAGGACAGCATGTACTGTCAGATGCATCAAAGCTTACAAGTCCGGGTCAACTGGTTCTCTGAGCTTCTTCAGACTCTTGTGCGCTTCAGACTTGAGGTTCTCGAGAATGTTCTCAAAGTAGTGTTCTTCGCTGAAATTAAGCTGGAAGGAGTAACATGACAAATCAGAGATAAGCAGCAAGTGTGTCTGTCATAGTGTGGCTTGGTAATAGTCTCAATTACTTGCTTACATGAGCGTACTCCTGGTCAAGCTTCTGGTTGCTCTCCTGTAGAATATGATCTGGATAGCCAATATGCTCCTTGATTGCCATGGCCTGCATGAGATACAGAACAATCAGTGTGATTGTACGCATATTGTACCGAACATCTACAATATATACACCCTTGTTTTTCCAGCTTGGCTACTTGTACTTTACCTTCTCTCTTGCTTTCTCCTTCGAGGGAGCATCCATCCAGCTCAACTCCTCCAGTGTTTCCACATACGCTTTCTGGATCTTACTGATGAGGTCACTGACCTGTGAACAGTGCAATCACATTCCCATCCAGAAACTTTTGTAATTATGGGGCAGCAGGTAACACATGCTACATTTTGAGTATTAAATGGATTTTGTTCATAGCGTATAATGAATACTGTAGGTACACAATACACGGTGAACATAATATATTTGGGAAAATAATAATTGTAACCGCAATGTCATTTCCACTATAATATGTAACGGTTTGGCGTGAAATGTATTTTGTGGCACATGTTGTCTTTGGGATAAATGTTTTCAGTGTTTTAGGCGAAGCAGGAGGGCTTGAAGGGCTCCATAAGTGGAGCCAGAAAATGTACTTTATGTCCAAATGACGCAAAAATGTTTTGTGGTTTACAGACCAGAGAGACTTACCATTTGTTTGCTTTCTCCAGCAAATGTCTCTCGCACATACAGAGCTCCAACTGCATTCTCCATGCTGCTCTGGACGTAACGGACACATTCTCGCCACCAAGCATCCTCCACAGTTGTTCCATAGAGAGTCTGACCAAACACACAGACAAGCACATGCTGCAATTTAGTTTTTGATCAAGCTCAAGTTAATATGTGCTGTTCAGTTACACCATGCTCCTCGCACCTTCCTGTAACGGGCTCTGGCATCTTTGAAACGGCGGCTCAAGCTGTTAACTCTGTCAATGGTGAGCTGCCAGGTGAGGTAGTTCTGCATAGTTCTGCAAACATACATTTGTTTTTTTTGTTATATTGTTGTGCTGAATTATAGCTATTTTGTAATAATTACATTTTCATGGAGCCTAGGACTGACCTGACACTGTGTCTGGAGAGAACATCATTCATCTTCTCAAGGTAGGGAGAGCTGTACACCACTACCTCCTCCTCTGGCTGGATCTCAATGGACACACTGGACAGCACCCCTTGAATATATCGTGTCCAGTTAAACCCCTGGAAAACAAAAAGGTAGGAGATATTTACATGATTTCACAAGGAAGTGCTCCTAACTACTTTACCTAATTATTTCAGGAAGATGGGAGAATTTAAGAATTTAAAGATTCAAGTTTAATTTGTTTTTATGTTGGGTAAGGGTATAATGTAATACATAATAATAATAACATAATATAATAATCTAAATATAATTAGGCTATTGTTGTAATTGTGGTGAACCATGGCAATTTGAGAGTGAATGTTGAAAATTGGGACATTTCAGTGTTTTACAGATATTTGTTGGGATAGCCAGCTTGGAAATGGGGAAATCCATGGACAAACTGAGACATCTGGTCACCATAAATAGAGCCAGCAGCTGGTTAGCTTAGCTTAGCACACATACTGGAAACCAGAGGAAACAGCTAGCCTGGCTTTGTCCAAATGTGACAAAATCCATCTACTTGCACCTCTTAAACTCACTAATTAACATATTGTATCGTGTTTACTTACCAGGCAAAATCACAGTGGCTAGCTTGTCTTGCGAGCATGTAAAACCACAATGTGTCTGTTTTTGTACTGATTAAATAAACAAGACATAACATGTTAATTAGTGAGCTTTAGAGGTGCTGGTAGGTGGATTTTGTCACCTTTACGTTGACCGAGCCAGCCTAGCTGTCCAGTTTTTGTGCTAAGCTAACCAGTTAGCTTTATATTTACTGTACAGAAAAGTGTGCTGTCAATCTTCTCATCTAACTCTCAGCAAGACAGCAAAAAAAAGCTGAATTATTCCTTTAATGGCCACATGCGGAAATTTGTGTTTTCCATGGCCACAGTATGTATGTGATATAAACAATGTGCCTTACTTACATAATTGATTTACATACTATCATTCACTACCAAGTGAATAGCTCAACTAGTCAACTACCCTGCTCAAAGGCACGTCAGCATTCCAAACTAGTTTCCCCATTCAGACTGTCAAACATACAGTGGTTATTTCAACAAGTGACCACTTTATGTAACACACAAGAAAGAAGCGAAATCACTCTTACATTAAAGCTGAATGTGCTCTGTAGCTCTCTAAGTGTCATCTTATTGTAGAGAACAGTGACATCTTGGCGCTCCTCTGCTGGTGATGTGGCCTGTCCAGCAACAGGAAGGGAAAAAAATAAAGCAGTCCTGTTCCCATATATATATTCACAGTTTGCTCTCCTTTCATCAGCGAAGTCTCATTCGTCATACTCTTGACAGGCACAAACAAAAAAACAGGTTAAAGGCTTGCCTGATCTCCTATGTCAACACTAAATTTAGCCTGGTTCAATTTACTGGAAGCACAGAGGAGGTGTAATTTTTCATCTTGTCATTATTAATTTTCCTTAGCCCTCATCCCACAATTCCATTTCCTGTTGTGGCTGACACTCACGTTGGCAATGTCTGTCTCCAGCTCCAGCACTTGCATCATTTCCTCCCACACACGGTCGTCATCCTGAGTCAAGTTCCTGTCCTCTCGGGTTATCTTTGCAATTGAAACCATGAAATGTAGGTAGGCCTCTCGAACCTATGGTAAAATCACAAGCTATAAATCTTGTTTCCACAACAAAATGAAGGTTGTCTCAGAACAAATGAGGTGAATAGAGTTATATTCGTACCAATCAAATAAATGGAAAGTGACATTAGAAAACTCAATACCAAAATGTATTTTCTAAAAAAAACTTGTAGTTACTCAGGATAATCCAAAGACAGTTTTTTTCAGTATAAAGTAGCTCTGTAACTGCAGCTGTAACAAGAGACATTGCCTGTGAGTTTTTCAAGTATTGATTTTTAATGCCTTTAACACCGCAAACAAAATCCCATCCCCCTCCACTGTACTGTGGTGGAGGCAGGAAAATCTGAGGGGAAGAACCCTGACAAATAAAACCAACATAATGTGCATCATTAGATACCATGAGAGTTAAGTCAGAAAATGTGGATGTGGATGTGGATTTGGTTGAAATGATCCTTTAAGGCCTCACCCTTTTGTAGTTTCCATCATTGAAGTAATAGTCTCTTGATGGCATTCCAAGTCCCGGCTGGTCAATCTAACCAGAATACAAGAAAAGCAATTAAGCATTTGTCTTTTTGTAATATTTACATATTTGTGTGTTTTTAATAATCAAATGTTATGGCTAAAAACATTCTATAATTTTCTTATTATCAATAAATCTCATGAAAAGAAACCAAGAAAACAACAATGAACTGATCCTACTGATGAGTATTGTTTAGCCAAAGCCTAATTTAGCTTTCTCTCTGTGCAACAGCACTCCACTGTTCAAAAATTTGTATTCATGTGCAACTGGAAATAATCCCCCAAAACACAGTATTTACTCCTGTTTGAGTTGATGTTTGCTAAAAACTACTTCTACTGGGAAATTATTTAGCCTTTTATACAAATTAAACTTTATGTTTGTGACCTGTTTTTAAAGATTTATTTCTTCAGTAGAAACAAATGGGCTGTGTGCCACAGGCAGGGCAGGGAAGTTGTGAAGTATTAAGAGACATTTGGTCTTTTCATGGGATGTGCTGACATTAATGAAAATATAGAATAACACCAGACTAATCTATAATCACTGTATATTGACATTATGGCTGTAATCTGTCATTTGTGCTCCAATAGACAGTGACCTTACATAAACTATATGGCGCCGAGAGTCCCGATCATCTGTCCACACGTACATGTCCAGGAGAACCTTCTTGTGGAAACGAGCTGTAAGCGTTGCTAGTGTGTCCTCAAGGCTCCATGCTTCCTCTGCAATAACAGCAGTAAATAACTACTCATTGTAACAGCCTGCAAAAATTGGGCTCCCTATCTGTCTCTGCTGCACAGTTAACTGGGCTCTCTGTGTAAATCTGTGTGTGCAGATGCAGCTATGTGTGGTTAATTCTGGTGAGCCACCGTCCATGATTACATTTAATTAAAGTGGCAGGAGCCAGGAGCTTGGGGAAGAGCAGTGTAGACTATTTAAAGCATCCTTCACAGTCCTGAGCAAGGACCTGCTCCTCTTCCCACTCATCACGCTCCCAAACTCCACACCTGACTGCTCAGCTGAAGAGCCTCAGCCGGCCTCTTGATCCGCCAACAAAGCTCGTACTCAGCAGTTCACTGACGACAAATATAGCTACACGGCCTCTGTGTGAGCACATGTATTTGAGTGGGAACATGAGTGCTTGTTTGTGTGGATGTGTTACACATGCACATTTGCATTGTTTGTGCAGAACAAACAGTAGGCATTAATCAGAGTGTGGTTCAGGGGTTATTTCTACCTGTAGTGGTGTTCCAGTCATCCGACGCCACAGGCCAGTCTCCGATACTGTCAATGAGCTTCAGGAGGGGCTGGGAGTCACGCTGCTCTATGAGGCCTGCAGATAAAATACCACAACTTATAAAACATAATAACAACACTACGGTCTCTTTTTTACCTTAGAAGCAGCAGTTCACAAAAAAAATCTCACTCAAAATTTGGGTAGCTTCATCTGCTGAGCTGCGCATCTGCAGGTCTTGAAATGATTTGTCTTCCTTGTAATGTTATACAATGTTTTTGTAACTGACTGTAGACTGTTGAAGACTCTACATACAATATCTCACAAAAGTGAGTATTTTTGTAAATATTTGATTATATCTTTTCATGTGAACACTGAAAAAATGACACTTTGCTACAATGTGATTTATATAATATGTGACAATAACACTAACGAGTCACATGACACCGGGGAGGGGAAATAGCTAATTGGGCCCAATGTGGACATTTTCACTTAGGGATGTACTCACTTTTGTTGCCATCGGTTTAGACATTAATGGCTGTGTGATGTGTTATTTTGAGGGGACAGCAAATTTACACTATTATACAAGCTGTACACTCACTACTTTACATTGTAGCCAAGTGTAATTTCTTCAGTGTTGTCACATGAAAAGATATAATCAAGTTTTTACAAAAATGCAAGGGATGTACTCCCTTTTGTGAGATACTGTACCTATAAACGAAAGGTGGGATTGTTTCGACAGTGGATTTAGCCGCAAGTCAGTGCTTTTTTGTGGAGTTTCAGTCAGCACCATCAGACCTCTAACAAACTGTCACTGCTGTAACTGTAAGCTCATTGTCTCATAATGGGCACATAGCAAAAAGCTTAAATGAACGGGTTAATCCATCCATCAGTTTTATGCTGCTTATCAAGTCCAAGCTGCAATAATTAATTATTTCATTATAAATTGTTGTTATATACTCATGGGCGCCGTATAGGGGAGAAAATCTAGGACAATTCCAAGGGCCCCTGACTGACAGGGGCCCCAAAAAATAATTATAAATTAATATCTATTTTATATTATACATTATATAAACCATCATTGAGTATAAATATATTTCAAATATAATAATAAAATGAATGATCTCTTTGTTTTTACTTGTTTTTGGCAGTAAAAGTTCCCCATTGACCAAAAAGTAAACATCCATATTAAGCGACCACCCCTGTGTTGCCTAGTAAACCAAAATCTGGTTTTCCATAAAGGAAAGAGAGGAAAGACAAAGGAAAGGATGTCAATCTGTAACCCAGTGTTTCACCAAGAGAGGTGGGTAGCCTTTAGTCTGTGAGTGGTGTTGGTTTAATGTCCATAGTGAAATAAGCTAGCTAACTATAGACTAGTGTTAGCCTACATTTCATCAACATTTAATCAGTGCAGGGAAACATTTAGCAAGATATTCATATTAAATCATTGTCCCTGCCCCTTTTAGCAGACTAAGAGCAGATGAGTCAGCAGCCTGTAGCCTCCCTTTCCCAGTGAAGAAGGTGAGGAACATGGTGTTAATGACATGCCAGTTAGCATCATTCCAGGGAGGTTGTGGGGATTCTCTCTTGCTCTTTTCACCATAACAAAAAAAGATAATGAAATATTTATTAATGAAAACACAAATGATTTTCTCACATAATGATCATTATGAAATAAAAAAAATACAAAAAACAACTTCCTGTCTGTACTGGATGCTGGACAGCAGCATATCTCAGCCTGCATGTAAGTTAGGGCTGCAACTAAAGATTATTTTAGTATTTGAAGCTTGTATAGATTTTTTCAACGATTCATCGATGCGTCGTGTAGTAAGTACTTTTGCTTGGTGCCCCCCCCCGCCCCCGTTTATGGTGATAAACGTGCACAGCTGATAAATATCTATCTAGGTGATAGATATTTATTAGTCCTTTCAGAAATTCATAGTGTGTCATACAGCAAACAGACCAACAACCAGACAGCTGCTTTACAAACACAAACATCACCTGTGTACAAGTTATACTAAAGGCTCGTGCAGACTACACGACTTTCAAACACAACTTGACAATCTTGAAGTCGTTGTGGCATTCACACTACGTGACTGATCGGTGACAGGGGGTCACACACTACACGAGCTGACAGCGGCTGTGTCACCAGACACTGGTCTCCAAACCACGTTTTGTCAGGACAACACACGTGAAATGTGAAACGGAAAATGAGCAATCCTGCACACGAAACAGCTGTTGTTTGTTATTATAAAGAATCTGGGTGAAAGAATGGATTAGCACACGCAGGTAGCAGGGATTGTCTGAGCTACAGAGAGAGCTGGAGGGGAGTAAAAGGTGCAGCTCCCCGACACCCAGTTAACTCCTGACTGTGAGGTTATAACTCACAGCCCAAAAAGGAGAACAACAAACGCACGTGGTCACATTTTCAGCTGAGGGCTGGGGCTTACTTTGGCTTCAACTCAACAATCAATCATGATTTCAGTTAAATGCTAAAGTTGCTGTTACTGTTACCTTGTCTGTGGTCTGCTGGCAGAACACCGGCTGCTTTCTGATCAGGTGCCGTCGTGCTGTTGCCGAGGAGACGTAAGTTTGACGTAAGTTTGGATTTACGGTGGACAGACTGTACCATTACAGAATTGTTGTTTTCTTTAGTTTGAAATAATCCCATACTTTGGACACTTTCTTCTTTGTCCCTCGCTATTTTCTCTCTCTTCCTCCACTTTGCAAACAGCGCCATTATAATCACGTCGTGTTCACAGCGTAAGCGCGATGTGCGACAGTAATAAATGTCCATTATTTGAGAAGCAAATAGTGAACTGCATACTGTATGCAGACTTGCATGTACAAATCACCAGCAGTAAATATTGTGCTAGTACTAGTATTGAACTACAAGAAGCTTGCAAGCCATTAATTAGAGTTATGTAAAGCTTTTGATGGGACAGTTAGGTCCTAGAGATGTGGTGACAACAGCTGCGCAGAGGGGGTCCAATTAGATTTTTTTTGTCATGGGGCCCAAAATTCCTGGCGGCCCCCCTGTATATACTTCTATACTGGTAGGTACTGAAATGTGATATAACTAATTAAATAAGTCTAGGTCACATCATCGCTGCTGGTTCTCCATCATACTTTGGCCAGTATGATCATGAAACCCTCGCTGAGGAAGATCATCTGATACACTCAACAGCTCCAGAAACACAAACAGTTTTTGTCAAGATGCCTTCTGTTTTCTTGCTTCCTTTTTGACATAAATGTTTTAGACTGTGTAAAGAGAGCCTTACTGTCATTCATGCAGGAGTTGTAAAGGACTTTGGCCTTTCTGATGGCATCTCTGTCCTGTCCCGTCTCCATCTCAAGAACACCTGCAACAACAAAATGCATGAAGACATTTCATCTCTGAATGAAACCCACGCACAGCTCTGAACACTGCAGCCCACTGACTACTAAAGATTAAGTTGACCTTTGAGGACAATCTCCAGCTTGTCCCTCAGAATGTCAAAGACGCTGTGACGGGAGCTCGTCTCCGGGATGACATGTCTCTCCAGCCAACCCCCGCAGGCATACTGGTAGAAATTATCACAAGGCTTGACAGACTTATCCATGTTCTGCAAGAGCCGAGCGGCTTTAAGGTATCACATAGACAAGAGGGGAAAGAGGCACAGGATGGTGAAGCTCTCATGTGGTTAGAAAACAGCTTTTTGCAGGGATGGGGGTTGTGTTTGTTTGCAAAACGAAACAGCGGGAGCTCAACGGAAAAACAGTTCCCCTCACCTGCAGTAACACAGTTCGCAGTTGTGCACACACTGTTGATGTTGGAGCGAAACAGCTGGCCTGGAAGAATCAGTGTCAACATTTATGAGAAGGCATGTAGACTATTTGACAAATTACATCCCGACTGAGACAAGGACGATGTTGTTGTGTGAAATATAGAGCTAATTCTAAATAGCCTAGATCCACTATGTGAGACAGGCTATGTCTATGTCAGCAGAGACTCTGTTCTTTCACTTTTGTGTGGCACTGCTGATCATGCAGTAAAGGGAATTACAGTATTACAGAGTCTATCAGAGGTGCAGGCTCCAATATGACACATGCCAGCCCAGTTATCCCCAAGTGTATCCTGTGTTCAGTTTACAAGCTTAACAGAGACAGACACTCACCTTCAACTGTTGAGCTCCTTGACACACTCGGCCTGTCAGATTGTTCTGAATTGGTTGGAAGAAGCAGATTTTGACATTAGACACAAACAGATCTTCTTTCTGAATTATAACGATAATTGTAATAGTTTTTATGGACTGGTAAGATTTAAGCAACAGAAAATACAACCAAGTCTTTTGCAGTGTTGTATTTGTCCACAAATATGAATACTAATAAAAGAGCCTGGAGTTCCAGTTCCCTACTTAAAGGTTAAGGTTGTGTAAGAGAATATATGGTATTATAAGGCAAAACCCTTATTTTGGTGAGTAACATTAACCTTTTGAAATCTAAAATGGTTTACCAGTGTGCATCAGTATTGCATAGAGCATCTCATGGTCACATCTGAAAGCATTTCCAGGGTCATAATTTCTTGTGTTAACACAGGCTAGTAGTCACACAAAAACAGAGCAGGGAGACCCTTGTGATTACTGCTGCCATCTGTAATATCTGGATCTTTCCACAGTGAGCCTGACAGAGCCATTACCTTTCACAACCGATGTGTAGAGGACTACCAGCCCGGCCAAGGCACAGCTGACCAACAGTAGCAACACGGACAGACCGATTTCTGCAACAGTCCAACGACGCTTTCCAGGTTTACTTGATTTCTCCATGATATCCATTTGGCTTTCGGATTTGCCCATATTCCTCCTGACTGCCGGCTCTGTGGGAAAGACACCGTTGGAGTGTGGGATGGTCCAGGCAGAGAGCTACCAGAGTGTGTGTGTGTGTGTGGGCTGTGCAGTGATCCATCGTTAAACTGTGCCAGCTGACCTGCAGTGAGTGAGCCTCAACTGCTGAACACCTACAACAACTTCACTGACAGGAGTTGTGAAACTGTTGGTCTCGTTGCATGAAAACAGTTTGTCGCTCTACATGTTATTCTTTTACTAAAGTAATGCAAAACATTTAAGCCTGGGTTTTATTTCTATAGCCTTCACAGTACTAGTTTTTGAGCCTGTTGAATCCACAAAATTTTACTTAATAAAGGACGCGATTAGCCATTGGTTGGTCGAGACACAAAAATTTTTAAATTTTGATGGTTCACCGGATGATTAAAGAGATAAGAAATGGAATATTATTTACATAATACACAATCATTTTCCTTTTTGTGAATGTACACAAATTTAAGCCTTTGTCATGTGATACTTTTTGCTCTTCAGTTCCCTCAAAGTGTTCTAAATTAAACAATCTGCGAAAGGAAAAAACACAAAACACAAAACAACTCATGTCCACACAATTTTCAAAGCCTGTGATGAGGGGTTGCCCGTAGATAGTGTTATTTTAACTGGCCACAAGGCAAAAACCATGGACATAGGGCACGTTTGTGTTTTGAGGGCTAGAAATGAACAGCACTTCTGATCTTTGAGCTATATTTACATTAGTATGGTAAATTCTCATTGAGCATGTGTTTGGAGGACAAAAACTGTCTTTTCATAACTGCAAGGAGACCTATACCGTGGGCCAATGTCAATATATGCAATTTACTGTCCATTATGTAAAAGGTAATTTGGTAGATTTCTTGGTATAGTGTGTATTTTATCACAATTGAGTTATCAAATGTGTTAAATCACTCTCGTTTTAACATGATCAAGCATTGCTGCAACACTATGACATGACATTTTTCCATTCTGCATTTGAAACAAATCTCACCTATACTGAATTCAGAAAACATTCTCCTAGTTATACTAAGGTTTAGTTTTCTCCATATGGCTGAGACCTAATGCCACTGACACTTTGTTAAACTAATTAGTTTACTATAATAACGGTGGTTTTCCAGGGCTTAGCACACCTGTGCTAAGTTTGAATAACCTGACCATGTTCCATACATTTTCTTTAGTGTATGAGTTCATTTAGGACATTATTTCTCACTTCATCATCAAGCTCCATCTGTTGTTAATATAGTCTAGGATATTTAATGTGACATTTATTCTGGAAACAATTTGGGGAAAAATAAATAACCACTAAACTCACTTTCACTGACCCTACCCCTCACCACCACACACAGCCATAAGCCTACTTCCACAGAGCTCATTTCTATGCACAATGATTATGTATGTGTGAACACAATATTGCAAATGAGCATTTGTGCAGGGGACAAAACTACAATCACCCATGGCTTTCAGCAGCATTGCTTTGCGTCTATTCACTCTGCAGCACCTGTTTCTCCATAACCAGCCCCATTGCCCTATCATTAGGCCTGACAGGGGACGGGCTGTAAATCAGAGGTTCACACTGCTGTGCCCCATTAGCCCTTCCTGATGAATACTCGTGGGCACATATCTGGCACTACAGTCATGAAAAGCAGGCAGGGGCTTGTTAGAGCTTCACTAAAATCCTCAGCATCAGACTGCACAGAAACTATCTGAGGCAAAATCCTGTTACAGTGCATTAAAGACAGGCCTCACTTTATAGAACGCTATGCAATAATGTGCAGTCGACTGTGTCAACATGAGATTTGTTGCCCGATATGAGGAGTTATTTGCATCTTTAAACATCCTCAAGATGGCTGTTCTGCATTTGTTTAAGTTCTCTCAGGTGTGATGGTCCCACATTAAGCAGGAGCACATGGTAACTTTCATCAGTTTCATTACTTTTTGGTTTTAGCACATTAAACAATGCACAAATAACTGGACACAGATTTGGTTTCATAACAGTTTTATTAACCATTTTTGACAGTTATCTACTTGGAACGCACACAGTTAACTTTGTCAGATTTGCTAATATTTGGGGATGGGACGTTTGATACCAAGGCACCGAAGCCTGTATATCAAATTGCCATTTCCACTTGACTGATGATATCCAAAGCTTCGTATGTCACCAAAACACCAGATTTGATGGTTTGGCAGATTCTAAACGTGCCCACCTTGAGTTAATGAATCCACTGGTTATCACAAGTATCGATTGTAGCTTAGACAGTCTTGATACGTTTGCGGTTATGGCAGATAATTAGAACTTAAGGAAACATTTTTAAACATAACTTACACATTGTGGCGGGTAGCAACATGTAGGCTACATTTTTTCTCATCACTTTAGTGAGTAAGCAAAGATCAAGATGTTCTTAGGCTTTGTGTACATATCGTATTGAAACTGAAATGAACAAGGCTTTGTATGCATTGTTTCTCCGCACTGTTGGGTTCATGACAAGATGTCACTGTGCTGTGTCTGTCTTTATGTTTTGAAACTTTTTTTTCCTGGCACAATCTGGAAAAAGCCTCCAAAGATTCACATGCTTTGTCCATCCATCACTACTAATATTAGGTTCATTAACTTTGTTATTTTTTGTGAAATTAAATGTTTTTTGAGTTACCAGTTGCTGCGGGCTGTCGCTGGAGGTATCTGCTGGCTGATCAACAAAAGGAGCTCCAGCTCAATCAGACCTGCTTAAATGGTGCTGATCGACAATTAGTCTGCACCATGTTTTTCTGCATCATGGGGAGGGGCAGTGTTTTCTAGTTTGAGTTTTGTTGTTATTTCTTTAACAATTGCACTTTTGATATTATTGTTTCATAAATTGTCTTTAGTTAATATTAGGTAGTGTTATCTTGACATGTTTATGGTTATTGTGGCTTGTTTAAATGTCATGTCTTAGTCTATACCCCCTAAGTGTCAGAATGGCCTGATCAGCCACTATATATGTCTCAGTTTAGTCTGTTTAGTTCATGATGAGTTTATGTAGCCTGACTAAGTTATGTTTGGTTGACCGCTTTTATTATATGCTTTGTAAATTTGTTGTTAAAATTTTTTTGGTAAATGGAACTTTTTTTTTTAAACTTTACCTCTGACTCCAGCCAGCTTGATCCCTCACATCAGAATACAGGCAGAATTTAGCAGTTTCTTTAAATCGCCGGTATTTCTGATTGTATTTATAAACAACCACACCAATAACTCATGTTCAGGATCTTCATGACAGAACACCCAACTAAATCTGAGAAGTAATGTGAGGAAATATTTTTAATTTCATGCCATGAATGGGCAAACTGAAAATTGTGGATAAAGGTGATATTATATATATATATATATATATATATATATATACAATTTGTTGACTTTGTAATAAAATAGCTCTCCAGTGAAGCGGAAGCAATATAAATGAGTCAAGTCTATACAGTAGTATAGGATTATGTACCATGTGTTGCAGTCATATTCATTTGAACAAATTACGCAAAAACACAAATTTGTTTAACTTGAAATAAATTCTGACTGACATTATTACACATTTGACAATATATTGGTAGAAGTGTTCCGTTTTCCCACCCGGAGTAGTGTTTGCAGATTGTCCTGCAGAGATCCACCAATCAGATGGTTAGGACAGCATCTGTGTAGCCTGAGAGACAAAACCCAGGGCCAAAAAAATTCCTAAAACATCTCACTGGTTCTCATTGCTGTGAGCGCAACGTAACAGTTGACACGATGAGTGTACTGTATTTGCATTTTTAGCAACTAAGACAGAAGATTGGCAACGGAACGAGTAGCAGCAGTGGAGGAAATCTGCTTCTCTTCCTACAGTTACACACAACTCTACACAACATTCTCCAGCTTTCTGCTCGTGCACCACAGGGCAGATAATGAGCCTGCCCAGCTAGAGGTCTGGCCAAGAGGGCAACATTAAAACATGGTTACAGCAATCAATACAAACAACATAAGCATTATAACTAAGACAACTGTCACATGCTACAAAACAGTATAGACAATATCCAGTTAATTTTTTTTTTTAAATCATCTAAAATAAAAGCGAAAACTATACATTTTGAAGAAGCAAACATGTTGACCTAAAGCACCAGCAGCAATAAGCTCTGACAATTTTAAGTTGTCCTGTGTTCCAAGAGAAAGGGGTATTTTAAAGCCTTTTTACCCAACTCCATCCTAACTGGGGGAATCGACATTTGTAAAATTGTGAGAATGAAGGCTATGTAGATTTTGTGTTCCACACATGTACTGTATGTATACAGGTGTTAAAAACCAGCGGTTGGACAGATTAACATAGAAAACAAATCGCTCACAGTCATCAGTAAGATGGGCATCACTGGAACAAGCTCAGTGACAATGATCATTCAGTGAACTTAGTTCAGCTCGAGGATTTGGTGTGAAAATGTGTTCGTTCATGTGCTGAACACCTCTAGAGTGACTGAGTCATGTAACAATTTTTTCCCCAGCATCTTAGACATGAACAAGACAAGTAAGTAAGTAAGCATCAGTAATCTAACAGGTCAGAGGTTCAGTGTGTCAAAAATAAAAATCCTTTCTCTGAAAGTGTAACTAAGTGTGACTCTGTACTAAATGTTTTAGGGTCTCCTTGTTTTAAGCACTTTAAGATTACACACTGCTAGGTTCACTGACTGGTACTTTTCTTCTCCAAACTTAGTGTTCCAAACAAAACAAGGATTAACTCACAGGTCAGGCTGCCAACAATCTGCACACTTTTTCTAGTTCAGTGTTATTCGCTTAGCTGCCTTCAAGTCTATACTAATGAAAGAAACATTCATTTCCCACATGTAAAAATGTCCAAACAGCTCAAAATCTCAAAAGCACATACACTTTGTTTTTACAAATCAGTCCTGGGACTGCTGAGTGATTCCTAAAGGCTGCAGTTTCAGGTGGCTTTAACTTTAACCACCTTCACTTTGGTACTTGACAGCGAACAGGAATCTAATCTAAAGGATCCAGAGGCTTACCTTTGTATGTGGATAGCAGAAGTCCCTGAGCCGTTTTTCCCCACAGCGCGCTAATATCTCAAACACCCCTGCTGAGCATCCACTCAGAGCTGGTGTGTAGAGAAATGAGTCTGTGCTGCAGGTTGAAGGAGACGTTATCCAGTCCAGTGTGCTGCTCAGGGAATGAGTGAGGCAGCAGAGAGAGCGAGAGCAAGTGAAGCAATAGGAGGGAGGGAGAGAGGGAGGGATGTGGCAGATGGGCGGTGATAGTACTGGATTGTTTTCGATTACAGTACTGTGATAAGAAAAAATGTTAGAGGTGTGTGTGTAATGAAGGGCTGAGGTGGGTTATGATATGTGTGAGGGGTCAACAGGATGTGTTAAAGTGAGCATCAATTTCTTTCTGTCTCTCTCTCTGGAGTGTCCCCAGCTGCTGAGCAGGAAGGGCAGAAAAATCTGGAAAGCTTGCAGAGAGATAAGACAAACATGTTCTTAAAGCGCTCTGCAGACAGATGATCAAGTGACACAGAGTTTCTAAACCTCTTTCAGTTGTTTTTTTTATCATCCCTGCAGCCACAGACTTGTGGATTTATGCCTTCCTGTTATGATCAAAACAAACGCCACTCATTATTGTTGCCCTTGTCACCCCTCTCCTCCTATTGTGTCCAGGAAGACTCGTCCTCAGGGAGATCTCGGATGCCCACAGTGTGTTTGGTGGGGATCTGAACCCTGGCCTGGTGTCAGATTGAAATGGCATGGCGCCCAGGCTCATTATCAGCCTGATTAACCACACTAATTAGCTGATAATAAAAAGAAAGCAGGGGCCACGGTGTGTTTGGCTGATGCTCGTAGACATCCAGTTGCTCAGGTGCTGTTGCTGCCCAAGACAAGATGAAAGAAAAAAAATTTAGTGGAGCATGATCTTGACCCAAAATAGAATATGCATTTAAGATGCGCTAGTACTTTAAAGATCCCTTTTGTGGCAAGCATGCAGCATCATTTAAATTTAGTGAAGAGGAATCTCGCAAAAACGTTCGCAAAAGCGAAGAAGCTTGCAGTCATTTAACAGCACCATGACTGATGCAGCGCAACACAGCAGGGAGTCGAGGTTTGCAACCAGGTTAATAATTTATTCATGGCTTTTATTTAGTAGAGAGAATGTTTCCTCTCATACTGTCACAGTGTTAAGTATGTGGCATTAAGTGCAATATAATTTATATCCATGATATATCCTGAATCTTGACTTTGATGTTGAGGGTCACAGACGGTGAGAGGTTAATTACACTATACGGTTTATAATTAGCCCTGTAAAGCCTGAACCATTCTAATTTTTTGAATATGGAGTGGTTATTATACCTAATGTCACATTAAAAAAAAAATTTTACATTTAAGTTTTGTTTTGTATCATATTTGATACATTCGGACTTTACTGCAATGTTTTGTCCACATCATGTTTTTTTAAAACAAAAATAAACATGCAGAACACAACATGTTTAAATCCTTTTATCATCATCAGCATCATCATCTTCCCCTAACTGCTCCATGTCACTTGAATTGCCACTCATAATCAGGATATCTTCAATGCTGTACTTTTTTGCCATTTACAAAATACAAACCAAACAAATTACTGCGTATTTCTCCTCTGAATTTAGTCAATTTTTATTTAAAATCAATGACCAAAAGACAATTATTATGAAATGAGTCATGGAAACATCCAATTAGACATTTAGCATCTCAATATAGCAGGAAAATACAATATAGGCTACAAAATTTCTCAATTTCTGCTCTAAATATACCAAATTATGCCGTTAATTAGTTTACTTAAATAATTAAAAGAGTGTATGTAGCTTAAAAGAATGCATAATGAAGGATATGCAATAAAACTATGATTTACAGGTGTATACATAAATTACCTTATATACCTGCTGTATCTAATTTGATACACACACTTTCAACTCAATATTACTATAAAATAAGTTAAATATAGAGTAACTATACATTGCTTCAATCCAGTAAATATTCATATTAGTATTCAAAACAATTTGAATGTTTTTCTCACCTTAACTCCTTCAAAACTGGCAAAATCTTCCTTGCAAAACAACCTGTAGGTCACAAATTGACAACCTCCATTTTGGCTGTCTCAATTGAAGGACCTACAGTATGTTAGACGAATTTCGGCCCCCTGGTGGATTATCCGTGCATTGCATGTATCTGATTGTATACACCAGGTTTTTTTTGGGGGGGGGGGGGGGCTCTAAAACTCATGTATCATAGATGATACGCTTGGCATTACAGGGTTAGAGTACATATTCAGGTGGACGGGTAAAAGCTGCACTTAAATTATTTTTCTTATATTTTATGGCGACAATATCCACGTGCAAAACATACATTTGAAAATTTGGCAATCTTGGCACAAGCCCTATTTTGCGGGTCACACAATAAATCTAAATACTCAGCCACAGCTCTAGCAGTATAGGTTTCAAATACAGTGTGCATCATATTCCTCATTCTTCATCACTTTTACTTATTCACACAGTCTTTAGTGACTGGTTAAGGTCACAGAAAAGCCCAAGTGAGCACATGTAATCAGGCATAAATTAGGTCATCTTTCTGTCCCTCTGAACTATGAAGTCATCCTGCAAGCATGGTGGTAGGTACACTGCAAACATGACACACTGCACATGTTTCAAAGAGCCATGGAATTAAAGTAACCTTTTGCTTTTTGCCAGATGTGTTTGTGCTTTCTGCTCTGTGTTGCAGCAGCATTGTCATCTAATGTGTTGCTTGTTTCATTTTTGTCATGATCATTACCTAAGTTCAAACAAGCTGCTTACCAACATCACATCTTTGCTTTGCTGCAGCCTCCAGTCTGAATATTGCATGTTATATACTTGAGTGCAGACAAGATCCTCAGGCTTTGCAAGAGTAAGTCAAATTATATTTAAGTAGGGACCCTCAAATTCGATTATTGAGAGATTTATTTGCTGCAAGGCAGTGCATGTTTGTTCTCACGCAGGTCATAAACAAATACTAGACTGTCTCTGTGATTAGTGGATCTGAAAAACAAGCTTGAAAGCTTTTTAATTAGGATATTGTTGATGAATGCTACTGTACTGTACTTATTTGATGAAGAAGGCTGCTAAACTTTACTAAAAGCCTGTGGCAGAAAATGTAATATGCGCTCGGAAACTCTCAGTTTGAAAAGAAGGGAAGGTTGTTGGACGGGTGACAGTTTATATATTTTGGTAAAACTGTCTCATAGCTAAAATTATATAAAATTTCAGGTTGCTTAGGCTAATATGCGACCAAATAGTAATGTTCTTTTCTGTGGTTCACACAGAAAATTAAAATGTTATTATTTGTAGCCTGAATCATTAATCAGCATTTAACATATAGTTTTTCATTTCTACAGTTTTTGGTTTTGCCTGAAATCATTATTTTTGAGCTTGCAGCTTGACAATGGTAGTAATCACTGCTTTACGTTCTCTCCCTGTTAATTATGCGCCATGTTAAATGCTGCCGGATTAGGCCAGCAGTCAGAATGAGCTTAACCAGCCCAGAATGTTTGAGTTTTTAATTGCAATGCTTAAAGACATGCCATTTTCGAGCAAGAAGCTTATTTGTTGTGCCTTTTTGATCAGGGAATACTAGGCCTATCTTACATAGTCCCTTCATACAAATACTAACAATGTCTTTGTTACATAAGGACGACAGCGGCATGAAATAGTGGCATTAATTCTTGTTTGACACAGGTGGCTGCTGAGGCAGTCCGTCTGACGTGACAGTGTTCGTTGTTCTTACACACTCTCCGTCAGCTCGGAGGCGTTCGGTTAGATTCATTGTCATCCCCCAGCCCAAAACAAAGGCTGTGATTAACTGGTTCCTCCTCCGTTGATTTACTGCATGTGTTTCATAGGCCTTAGAGAAGCACACAGGTCATTAAGCACAGCAGTGACATAAAAGCCCTGATATTATGTCCTACTGCTGACTAACTCGGAGGAGCTGAACCTGAAGCAAACCTCATGGTCTCCGTCCTCGTCTCATAAATCAGCATCCATTAGATCACCATTTCCAGGTGTAATATGTTGAAATACGGGTGACCACAGCGTGTTTGCTGGGTCACTGCGGACATTTTAACTGCCGTCTTCACTCCTCACTCTTACTCAGGCAAAACCTGAGCATGGCATGGAATATTTTTCTGGAAAAAGAAGTATAAACAGGCCATTTAAAAAGAAAGAGTAATCTGCTTATGCAGGGGCCTGCTATACAGAAAATGTTAAGTGTGGATTAGTGTCAGCCTTTCTCTCTGTGCATGTTTGTTATGTGCGTATGTGTTGTGCTTACCACTCTTAATTAACTCTGTGCTGTTGCAACAATATAAAAAAGCACAATGTAAATGGGACGCACCCTGATTTCAGTTTTTTTAAAAGCCTTTTCTCAATCTGGTATCCATTTGTGAATATTATCTGTAGCGTGCCAGAGACACTAACAAGAACAAATAGTTTTTTCCTTCAATTATTTTGTCAAACAGATGTAAAGCTTCGCAGAAATAATCTGAAAATAATAACAAAAAGGGGAGTGGTGAGAGCAGCATAACATCTTTTCCTCTAAATGCTTTCATGAAATAAAAAGTCAGACAAACATTGTATCAACCTCAAATCAATCTCACTGTCTGTGGGATATCTACAAGTACATTTACTAAAGTACTGTACTTAAGTACAACTTTAAGGTACTTGTACTTCAGAACTCATAGTACAATTGTACAATATTGTACTTTTTACTGCACTTATTTAATTAAAAAGCTAATTTAATTAAAACTAATTTGCTATAGTTAATTTACAAATTAAGATTTTACATACAAACATTGCTATAGATTAAATTACCGAACAGTGTACACAGCAGTTCAAATTTGCTCCACCTCGACCAGCTACAACAATAAAATGCTACTTACAAATTAATGCATCAGTAATAATAATTAAATTATATAACTGTGATAGGGACCATTTTTCTGAATTGAGTTCCTTTAATTTTGATACCTTGAGGACATTTTGCTAATATTACAAGGTTTTACTTGAGTAACATTTTTAATTGTGGACTTTTACTTGCAATAGATCGTTGTTCCTTGGTGGTATTGCTACTTTTACTGATGGAGAAATCTTCTTCCACTACTGATAAAAATGTTAGAGCTTTGG